ATCGCTTGCACCTTCTGACCCACGTCATTGCCCTGTCGTCTCTCCACACGGGCATTCATCTCCATTGCGTACAGGGTGGTCCCCGACTTACGATGGAGATGCGTTACGACGACCCCATCGTAAGTCGAAAATATCGTAAGTAGAAAATGGCCTAGCCTACCCAGGAGAATTAAAGAATGGTGGTAATTTAGCAAAACAAAGCAATTTACAGTACCGTACTGTTAAACTATATACTGTATTTATTAATTACAATACTGTATTGCACAGTAACATTGAAAGTAACAAAAACAAGGTAAAGTCTTAGCCTACCTATATGAACTTCAATTTCATAGAAAGTTTTTTTTCAGGAAACAATCCTATCTGCTATAAAAACTGTTAACATGCATTGAATCGTATCGTGGTAACCCTAAAATGAAATCGCTAAAGCTATGTATCATACATGCATTGAACGTATTGTAACGTATCATATTCTACTGTACTCATCAAGATTCTGTCCGTCGTCTGCATACTTGAACGATGTTAAGGTTGTTGATGGCTACATTAGCTTAGTTGTCGGAAGAGGATGGCGATGATAAAGTTACAGTATCGTACCTCGTAATGCTGCTACGTTTGCCTGCCGCGCGAAATTTAAAATATTTAACAATTTTGTCATATCGCTATCGCCATCGTAAGATTTAAATATCGTTAAGTCGGACCATCGTAAGTCGGGGACTACCTGTATTTGTTAAACTTCTTTTGCACCAAACGCAGCCAACAGTGCTAATCGGAGGTGCGGTGAAAATTCCACATGCTTATGGCAGAGCCAGTCTATTTAAAGGACAATGACCATTATTTAATGAAATGTTAATGACCAAAGGGGCGAGATATTTTGGCTTTGTGCTTGTTCATCACTACCAACACAAACGCTTAACACTGCAACGAATAATCCAGTTTAAATATAGTAAACAATACCCCTGTTGATTAAAGCAGAGAAACCAGAACTAACATTTTTCAAATAACAAAAACATACAGCAGTTCGTGAAGTCTTAGCATTGGTAATGTGCTGACACAGCTAATACCCGAAGCCTACGTCTAAATCTAATTGCTACACTGGCAGTTTTTTCTTACTCGGGTTATAACTTTAAACAATGCGCAAAACGTCCCATTGATTCTTCTCTTTAAATCCTCTTTAATAAACGTGTTCAGTTTACAGCTTGCTAAACACTTCATCGCGGGAGTTACCGACGAAACGACGTTTGCGCCTGGACCCAGGTAAACGCATTCAGCGTAAACATGTCAACCATGACCCGTGCCAAAACAACAAGCTCCAGAAACGAGCGCCCGCATGCCCACCCGCCCCCTCCAGGTGCGCGACCATTTTTCAGAGCTGGTACGCGGAGGTGGCGATGGCGACGGGCGTTCCGACTCGGGAGAAGAGACTCAATAGCAAATACCAAGAACAAACACTGCATTGGAGAAGTGTTGCGGCAGTATATTCAGGCGCTGCTTGCAAGAACTGCCGTGAACGCGACTCGGATTGTTTTTTTTTAAACAGCCGTGGGTGGCCCTGAAAATCCGGTCTGCAGCTTAAAAAAATCCTTCATATTCCGGGTTTAACACAAATATTATTTCACGGGTTTGTAAACAAGGTTTTGGACCCGGACGTCTCTCATTTGAGTCCGTCCTGCCCAGGTAAGATCCGCTTTGACGGCTCTACGTGTAAACGGCTTTGATGCTTCGATTGAATTGTGGCGACATTAAGTACTTTGAAGCGGATGGTTTGAAACACCACCTCCTAAAAACAAACAAAACCAACGAATTTAAAATGGGTATCAAGTCACACGAGCGGATTAACGTGTTTTTCTTTCTCTCTCCACTAGTCCCAAACACCCTGCCACTGCTTTCCCCACGTGGTCAACGCTTTCACATCTATCCATCGGCAGATTCAAAGCGCCGTGTCGGACATGCATTTGACGGGAAAGGCGGCGGGCGGGCACAGTCGCGTGGGCGAGAGGCTGCAGGGATTGATGATGGAGATGGATAGAAAAAAACACACACTCGTCCAACAGAGGTCCCAAACAGCAGGCACGCAACCATCCACTTTGCATCCCTTTGTGGTTTGGCCCACGCCATCCACGGGTGCCGTTCCCTCCGTGAGCCAAGACGTGGCGCCTGCATCGTGCACTCACACGCACGGCCCATTCGTCCATCCACTGCTGGATAAGGGCCTCCACATGCTGTGTGGGATATGGGGGTTATTTCACCGTACTTCACGCACACTGGTCAGTGAGAACTGGCGAAGGCGGGGAGGGTTTTAAGTGAAATGGATTTTATGCACTGACCACAATATTGCCATGCAGCAGCCTTTAACAACCTGTTTTGCATGGTGGTGGCCCATCCAAGCATTATCCAGGCTCACATCTGCTTGGCTTCTGATATCTGACGAGAGATGGGGCGCATTCTGGGTGATTTGACTGTAGGCAGATGTAACATTTCCCAATACAATTAGCAAATATCCTCAAGAATGATGCCGTTCGTGCTACATGACAAACCACGGGCTCGAGAATGGATTGTAATTGGTGAATCGGTGACTCGCCTACTACACACTTGCCTGCGTTCAAATCAATTCCTAAATAAAAACGCCAAAATGTTTTACAAAGTCAAGAGGCCATCACCGGCCTTGGCACCGATGTATCCTTCCACCTCCATCGCTTCCTTCTGCCAGAGCGGCTGTTAAATTGCTTCAGCGCCGTGAGTGCCTTCAAGCAGAGCTATCTAAACACACCAGTCTATTTTTAAATACGTGAATAAATAATTAAAATGTAAAGTACGCACATTCCACTGGAACAGTGGCCAAAGTAAAAATATCTGCTTTCCAAGATTCAGCAGGTACTGCAGATCAGGGGACATTTGCCTACCTTTCGTTAGAAAAAAAATCAATAAAAGCACTGGGATTCTGGACCTTAAGGTAGACTCTAACTTGGCACGGCAAACTCAGTGCGACATATTCTTGGTGCTTTCGGTAAAATAACGTAGAAGGGAAATACAAAAATAAAACAATTAAATTCTCACGACGTTTCGATTGCAACACAAGCAATCATCAGGTGTGAAAGCCACAGCACGAACATTTTCACACCTGATGATGATTGCTTGTGTTGCAATCGAAACGTCGTGAGAATTTTGTTTTATTTTTTTATTTCCCTTCTACGTGCCTTTACCGAAAGAACCAAGAACATGAATCCCTGCAGTCACGAAAGCTATAAAACGAAACTCAGTGCGACATGTTTTTTAAAATAAAATTACGTAAAAAAAGCTACTTTAACTCGATTCATTGGCGTTTTGGCGTTCATAACATACTTAACTTACAACTCCCATAATAATGTAACTAACATCTGGCTGGGTTGCTAGCTGTTAAGATACAATTTGAAGATAATTGTAAGCAAAATAAAAGTGAACTTGAAACTAATATCTGGCAAACCAGCAGCAATATATCTTTTTAACAGAGGTGGGACTGCTGATGAGACCCAGAAGGTTCAAACCAGTCCAGAGTGTTCCTACTTAGACCAATGCTTGTGTAAAGCAATGATCTGGGCTCATAGATGGATGCTCGTTATGTTATCTAATGATGCTACGACTGCAAAATAAAAGTTAGATATTTGGCAATATTTGAACAAATAACCTAATGCGCTAACTATAATAGATATATATAAAACAGAAATGTAATACAGGAACTCCTCCATTTACGTTGCTCGTATATGCGTCGTCTCACTATACCGTCACCAACGGATTAGGGAACACGATTCGACTCAAAATGCATCGATCCGCTCGCAACGTTCTGTTGAAAAAGTTAAAAGAACGCGGCGGTTTGAGCGGCGTACCCGACGACGAATTCCGCCACCTCTAGCAGGCCCTCAAAGCCTCCGTGCTTACGGCGTCGCCAAACTAACCTATTTACTTAACCAGGTAAGGCCGTGCCGAGCTCTACCATGTCTCGTTGTTCAGAAGCGACCTGGCCATCACAAATGATAGCTCAGCGAAGTGGCATATCACGTGGAAATGTATAGCAGCCAAATACCCTACATCGGAGTTCTTCATTGCAAGACCCACGGGGGCCACTGTTGGGGCCTTCAGTGCGCCACCGGACGTGCGGCTCCACCGGCAATACACAAATGGTAAAAACACCCCTCCCACATCATCATCATCGTGCTGCTGTCAAACCCCCAATGGTTTCAAATGTGTGGCCACCCTCACGTTGACGACATCTTATTGGTGAAAGTGGCCACCCCCTCTGAACATTTGTGAACAACACTGGTTTAAATGCTGTGTATGTTGCACTTCTTTTGCACACTGAGATCTCCACCACTATCTCTGCTTGAGTACTCTGTATGAATTTACGTTATTTATTTAAGCTTGTTATATTTATCGGGGGTATATTTTGTTATCTTTTTTTGGTGCCGATTTTATATTTTTTTCCCTGCAAACTTTGACTGAAAATCTTCCCCCAGGAACGTATCCTGAAGTTTTACCATTCAGTCAACGTTAACGTAGGTTCCAATTTACGTCGTTTCGTCAAACGCCGCTTCCGCCAGGGACACATCTCCAACGTAAACAGAGGCCTTCCTTTACTCTTCAAAATAAGTAGCTTTAACAGCTTAATTAACTAGTGGGCACAAACTAAGGGCCTCATTTGAATGCCATGGGAAGAAAACGTCTGCAGTCGAGGGGAAGGCATTCCATAACGCTGTCAGAAGGAGGTGAACGGCGGCGGATGCACGTCGTTCAACACACGTAACACACACGCACTCAAAAAACAAAGATCCCCCGTATAGCGTTAACAGACTGTTGGTGCAAGTGCTGTTAGCGAGCACCTATGAAGGCCAACATGGCACACAAGGAGGTGGGTTAGCCAGCACCACGCCCGGCCGCCTTTGTCTCCCTAGTGGTGATGTTTACACACCGCACCAGATACTCATATTAGGCTGAGTCGACATAGGGGACGAGGCCCAGGACCAGTTCAGATAATCGTCACTGGTGTTGGCCGTGAGCGGTAATCGATCTCTGGTCGCCGGGTTCGTAGCGCAGCGCGCTAAACGTTGCACTACCGGCTCGCCACACACACACATACATGCTCACACATGTACTCAAGACAAGTAAACACACACGCACACGCGCGCACACACGCGCGCACACACACGCGCACACACACGCGCACACACACGCGGACACCAGCTGGACTCCATCACTCGTAGTCTTTCTCCTCGGCTCGAAGGTGACAGAACATTGTCATGGAAAACACCATGCCCAGGATCTGTGTGCAAGAGACGAGAGAGTGCAACCACGTTGTTGTAACAGCAATGCCGGCACGGGGAAAACCTCACGCTCTTCGCACCGACCGTGTGAACGTGAGTACCATGACCCCCCATCCGACTCCTGCCTGATAAGATTTCCATCCTCTCCTCTCACTCTACCACAGAATAGCAACCTCGAACCACAACCGACCAAAGTAAATCCACCAAGATTCACTTCTCCCACCGATTACAAACAATCGCTAAACATTTAGCCTCGATGTAACATTCTTTTGCATTATTCCCTCGTGTGACGGTGTTTTATTTTTTATTTGTTTTTTCCGATCGACTCACTCCGTTGCTGCAACTTACTTTGTAATACTTTTGTCACTTGTAATTTCGGTTACTCGGGTCACCCTTCCAAATGAGACTCCTATCCTGGTCTCTTGAGTTCTCAACTGGCTCAACAAACATGAAGTTTGAAACTACCGTTTCAGCTCACCAGCAAGCATTCCCCCCCACCCCTCCCCCTCCGGACGAGGATTTTGTGAAGAGTTTACGTTTGAAATTAAGACGTTGCCTGCATTGCTACCAACACAATTGTGTATAAGAAACCCATAATAAAAATAACAATAAAAAACACTTGTTTATTGCACAGCTGTGGATTTACCTGAATGGTCGCGATTCCGAGGCAAAAGATTCCAACGTAGGCGAGATTGTCTTTGATCCACGACTTCAACTTTTCATAACAGCCCTGGAAATAAAAATATATTTGAAAGGTCAAGGTCAAAAGGTCACCGTGGCCGATGCCACCACACCAAGCCATTGCTTGCCTCCGCCAAATCTCTCAAATGCTCTCTGGGATATCATATTTCACAATAATTTGGTATATTTATATTTTCCATATTTTATTGTCTTGTTTTTGTACTTTGCTGTACTCCAGGTTCAAATTAAATTTACTTCAACGTCATTCAACTGCCAGTTCGCTCAACTTAAGCCTGCCATTGGCCTTTTTAATCGTTACACTCTACCATGCGTACAAAGATCAAATTGGTGACAGGAAAATTCCAACTCAACAAAAATACGAGCATATAGACTGGAAAAGCCATACGTTTCAAACAAGACAGAAACGTGTACAATGCAGTTGTGCAGTTTGCAACAACAACAAAAATCCATCTGCATTTCCTGAAGATCTGTGATCCTCTTGGCTTAGAGGTCACCATCAAAATGTGACAAAACCGGTCAACATTCCGGGCGTCACTGCACCACGGTTGCAGTCAAATCGCCGGTTTTCAGGAAATGCCGATGGATTGTTTTGCATGCGCACGACAGCGGCGTGCTTTTTTTTGTCACGCATTTCCACGTTTGTTTTAAACTAACGCGCACCAACGTACGAGTCACCTGCGCGCGCCTCGTTCTAACACGGTGTACCGGCGGCAGCGTCGACGGCACGGCTTGGCTTCCGCTGGCCCCCTAAGCGACTGGCTCACCGGTCTGGCGTAGGCAGAGCTTGGCACGGAACCGCAGCCACTGGCAGGGTCCCGGCAACACGAGTCCGGCACGCGGCGCTCACCGAACACAGCGAACCAGTCGGTGTGGTTGTGCACACCGCAGCAGCCAACCTGCGGGCAGACGGGCGGGCGGGCGGGCAGAGGGATGGGTGGGACGGCACGCACGCGATATAACCGTCGCATCCAATGCGGTGGTGACGGAGGGGGAAAAGCACGGACGGCATCTATATGAGGGCTAAATAAAATAAACAAAGGCGGCGTTGTTTCCATGCACTGCAGAGTCACGCGAGTCAGGCAGCTCCCTCGCAGAAACACTTGCGCCAACAAAATGAAATGTCAAATTCCAAATGAATATGTTCCCACCTACGACATTTCCGATCGTAGCGCGCTTGGCGGTGTATTTTCGCTCAGCCCCCCACGCCCCCCCCCCCCCCCCCCCCCCCAATTTTGACGGAAGGAAAGTAGGGCCCACCCGGTGCAAAGCGAGAGCCCGACCCGGACAATTTGGAATCAACAAACAATACGGAAATATGGAAAACGCGAGTTCTTTAGCTCGTTCCGAGCCAAGGCGGCTGTTGCGAACGGCGTCTGCCGGGCATCACCGCTCTGCCCTCGGGAATGGCTGCGCGCTTGTAAAATGAGCATAGCGTGATGGCAGCTGACCTCGGAGTGCAGGGTGTTCCACGCGTTGGTGAGACCCACGTTGCCTTCGGTGCCGTACAGGTGAAGGCCCTGCCTCAGGTCGTCCTGGGCCCAGTCCTCTATCTGTGTGTAGCAGGGGCGGTGGAAGCGGTAGTGTAGCGGTTAGTGCGCCGCACTCTGAACCCGGTGACCCGGGTTCGATTCCTGCTCACGGCCAACACCAGTGAAGATTATCTGAACCGGTCCTGGGCCTCTCCTATAGGTCGACTCAGCCTCAAATGAGTACCTGGTGTGTAAACATTTCCACTCGGGAGACAAAGGCGGGCGGGCATGGTGTTGGACACCCACCCCCTCGTGTGCCGTGCGGGCCTTCATAACAGCATTTTCCCCAACAGTCTGTCCAGGCTATACGGGGGGATCTTTGTGTCTTTGTGTAGTCGTGTTTTATTTTGGTCATGGTCTTAGTCTAGTCAACTAAAACGGTCAACAATTTTGTCGGGGAGTTCTCTCCCTACACGAAGACCGAAGCCCGGGCTGAAGACTAGCCAGGACCCTGGACCAGCCTTCCAGCCCTTCTGAGGGCTAAGGCTCGGCATACCCAGTGGTCAGGACCCACCGGGCCAGCGGTGGGTCAGATAGCCTCCCCTAGGTCCCAGCCGGAGGACACTTGAATAGCGGTACACGTGTAAGTCCTGCCAAGATAGGAGGCTGTACCTCCTTAGGTATCAAGGAGACCTGTGTGTAGGTTACGCTGAGTCCGGAGGCTGTACCTCCTTAGGGTATCGGGTGAGGGGACCGGATACCCCTCTGTGTGTGTTAAGGATTGTATGAGGAAAGAATAACAATAAAAAAGTGTGCCTCCTAAGAAATTTACTCGTCTTTATAAACACTACAGACACACAGGTGTGTAGTAGACACACAGGTGTATAGTAGACACACAGGTGTATAGTAGACACACAGGTGTGTAGTAGGCACACAGGTGTATAGGAGGCACACAGGTGTAGTAGACACACAGGTGTGTAGTAGACACACAGGTGTATAGGAGACACACAGGTGTAGTAGACACACAGGTGTGTAGTAGACACACAGGTGTATAGTAGACACACAGGTGTATAGTAGACACACAGGTGTATAGTATGCACACAGGTGTAGTAGACACACAGGTGTGTAGTAGACACACAGGTGTGTAGTAAGCACACAGGTGTAGTAGTAGACACACAGGTGTATAGGAGGCACACAGGTGTAGTAGACACACAGGTGTATAGTAGACACACAGGTGTGTAGTAGACACACAGTTGTGTAGTAGACACACAGGTGTATAGTAGGCACACAGGTGAGTAGTAGGCACACAGGTGTGTAGTAGACACACAGGTGTGTAGTAGGCACACAGGTGTGTAGTAGACACACAGGTGTGTAGTAGGCACACAGGTGTATAGTAGACACACAGGTGTGTAGTAGACACACAGGTGTGTAGTAGACACACAGGTGTATAGTAGGCACACAGGTGTAGTAGTAGACACACAGGTGTGTAGTAGACACACAGGTGTAGTAGTAGACACACAGGTGTGTAGTTGGCACACAGATGTGGTCGGCATTGCGGGCAGTAGAGGGCAGTGCATGCAGCAAAATCCATTGTAGTTCTGCACTCCTTCCACTGACCAGCATGGTGAAGTATACTCTTTGGATCTTTCGGTAAAGTCACGTAGGTATAAAATAAAATAAATCACGACGTTTCGGGCGCAACACAAGCGTCCGTCATCAGGTGGGAAAGCGTGGTCTACTGCTGAGGCAGACTGTTTTTTTTTTTAAACAGTCTGCCTCAGCAGCAGACCACGCTTTCCCACTTGTGTTGCGCCCGAAACGTCGTGATTTATTTTATTTTTATACCTACGTGACTTTACCGAAAGAACCAAAGAGTATGGATTCCTGCAGTCACGAAAGCTTCAAATCAAGATGGTGAAGTATAGCCAAATATCCCTCATGACCCGCAAGCTGTGGGGAGGCCCGCAGCCAGCAATGGACTGCCTAATGGGCTACGCATGTACCAAATCCTATATGCATGTAAGAATTTGCCCACCTTAATTCATTTGTCACAATTTGGGGTTGTAATTTAATAGATGTATTATTTTATTATTTCTATTCTTGGGTGGATAATCTTTAGTGGCTGCGCGGGGTACAGGCAGACAATGACGTACAACATGTACAGCCCCTTGTGTCAATCCACTGCTGGATGAATGCCTCATCACACAGTTATGACGGGAGTTGTTTGCCCGTACTTCACCGTGAAGGTCGTTGCGGGTTAGCGCACAGTGCTATGAACCTGCTGGCCCGAGTTTCAAGTTAAAGTTTATTTTATTTAACAGAGTGTAAGCGAGAGAGACCAAGAGCGTCTCAATTTCCTGAGTGACCCTGGGCATTAGCTTGCATGAAGGAGGGCTATGATTGCTGCTGCGTGAATATAATCCCATCCGATTAATTTGCGGTGTCATCTTAAAAGTCTGGTGAATTTTGAGCCCAAGTTTGATTTCTAGTGATGGCTAACATCAGTGATGAAATCTACACTGGCCCTGAGCCTCCGTCCATCAACCAGCATGGTGAAGTAATGTCAAACAACCCCCATGACTGACATGGCACATGACTGACATGGCACATGTCAGTCATGTCCAGCAGAGGAGCGACAAAAAACGTATTTACTCTTCAATAATACGACACTGAAAATGACGAATCAAAACATTTGTCCTTAATCAGCCAACCTTTCAGCGTGACTCCTAACCCCCCCTCAGAAACGCCCTGGCAACAAATATTTAAAATGGCTTTGTCTATTTAGTTATTTTCAAACGTCTTTCTCACTTCTTCCTTCCTTGAGTTGATGTAAATTTTTACCGCCTTTTCATGCGTAGCGCCCTGAGTCACAATTGTTTAAGGGGGCGGTATATAAATAAAAATGTATTATTCAGAATCTTCCCTTCCGTTCAGCACCCGACGCTCACCTTTCCCTGGTACACGAAGAACAGAACTCCTCCCACAAACTCGGCCAGGAACACGACGAGCAGGAGCACGAAAAACTAGAGAGGGGAGGGAAGAGAAGACGAGAGGGCGATTTTCTCTCCGCACTTAACCAGAGGGTAAGTCATAATCGTACGTGACCCAGAGGGAAAGTCATAATCGCACCTCACCCAGAGGGCAAGTCATAATCGTACGTGCCCAGCGCTTGCTGGCTCCCCAATCCTGAGATGCAAGGGGATCCAATCCCATTTTCCACCGCCTGTTATTGAACCGGGGTTTTAAGTGTACAGTGGTGATTTATTGAAACTGAAAATATTTTAATTTACCAGGTAAAGCCGCACCTACGATTTCCCGCACCTTGGCCAGGTGCAGGGCTAATGATGCATTATATTGCGAGCGACGTCAGTCAGTACACTGTGAGGACGCGGCGTGTTTAGTTTGTTGTCCTTCCCCCGCACCTCCACTCGGCACAGTTAGCTACGTACGGTGTGAAAGAAGTTCAACATACATACAAAGCCCACTGAGCTATTAGCTCTGTTTCAGAAGCGCCCTGGCCACAAATGATAGCTCAACGAAGTGGCTTATCACGTGGAAATGTAAAGCAGCCAAATACCCTGAACGCATGTTTCTAAATGTGGAGGGAGACACCAGAGAAAAATCCACACGACCACGGGGCGAGAGAACACGCACATTCCAAATATACAGCAGGCGTCAGTCGGAATCAAACCCATGACCTCCTGCATACCAGGCGAGCGAGTTAACATCTCCTAGCCACCGCGGCGCCCCCGCCTAGAAGGGACCGCAGAGGTTAGTAGCTCTGTGGCATCCGCTCCCATTGGTCATTCTCGAGCGCGAAGTCGCCGCCGGGTAAGCGAGGGCGGCGAGAACGCGTGACCGTACGGTGAGCAGGAGGCACGGATTCTCCTTGATGGCGCCCAGGCAGCCCAGGAAGCCCAGCAGCATGGCGGCGGCGCCCAGCGCAATCAGCAGGTTGGCGGCCGACAGCAGCGGCAGGTTGGGAGACACGGCCGCCACGCCGCCCTGCGTGATGGACAGCCAGATGCCGACTCCCAGCACGCCGCAGCCACCAAGCTGCAACGGGGGGGAAGGCACGGAGGTGGGAGAGAGGGTGGGTTCAAGTTTCAAGTGTGTTTAGTGTTGCCAGGTGAGAACTCAAAGAGGCCAGGCATGAGTCTCGTTTGGATAGCCTCCAGAGTGACCTGGGGCATTCGTCTGCCAGTAGAGGGCGATTGATTGCTGTTTATTATCCCAACCGAGTAGTTAATTTTCAAAGTCGGACGCCGACCCCAGCGCACAATGGCCTAGTCTCGCGTAGTGACGTTAGGGGATCTTTGTCGTCCGCTGTGAGTGAAGCAAGATGGCGAGTTGCGCTGATGTGGTAATTACGCTACCGGCAGTGATAACCCAGGCGGCCGCTGGATTCCAACCGTGAGCCCCTGGAACAAACGGCGAACCGCGCCGGCGCCCGGCCACAGAGTCACCGTGAATGGGTCAGTGGGTGACCAGTTGGGTGTAGGTGGGCGAGTTCGCGGTGGGTAAATTAACGAGTTAGCATGTTGCAAGTGAGGCAGTGAGGTTGTGAGTTGTTGAGTGGGTCAATTAGTGAGTGAGCTGGTAAGTAGTTAAGCGAGTGGGTGAGTTGAAGACTTTGTGTGAGTGATATAAGTGAGTCAGTGAGTAGTTCAGTTGGTGAGTTAGGAAGTGAGTAGACAAGTGGGTGGTTTAGTAAGTTAGTAAATAAGTGAGCTCGTGAGATGCTCAGTGAGTGGATGAGTTGGTAAGTAGGTCAGTAATGAGCTAGTGGCCGAATTACTTGACTGAGTAGTTGAATCGGCAAGTCAGTGAGTACATGAGTGTGTTTGTGAGTAGGTAATCCAATCGATGGGCTGGTAAATGAGCAAGCTGCTGAGTGAGGAGGGTACTCACCCAGAAGACCAGGTTGAAGACGAACAGCAGGTACTTGAGGCAGTAGTGGCAAGCCCTCCCCATGCCGGCGGTTGTGTTCCTGATAGATGATGCGAACTGCTGAGCCTTAAGCAACAAAACACAATCGGGTGACTCTTTTTACAAAGTCAACATCGTGCTACATATTACTGTTATCACCGTTATTACTGCATGTACCATAAGCTTCAGCATTATAAATGGGTACACCCACAGTTTGTTGATCAGGACATTGAGGTGTCGAATTTCTTTTGCACCGTACGTAGCCAACTGTGCTAATCGGATGTGCGGGGGAAGTGTGGGTAATCTCAAGTCTTCCGAGACATCAATTGGAGGAGTAGGTCAACAACCTCTAGCTATAGACTTCCCCCTCCTGGAGGTCCTTCGACCAGCAGTGACGCGAGCCAAGAAATTACGGGGCTGCACTTTCACCTCTTTATTATTTTCACCTGACTTACGTCTCTAAAATTACTCATTCAGTTTCATCGGCCGAGCAGACACCTTTCAGAATCAGAATCTTTATTTAGCCTGGAGGAATCCGATGACCTATGAGGATCTTTTTCACAGATGTCCAGTAGGTCACAGATGTCTAGTAAGACATCCATTCCTTGCCTGGCTCCCCTGCCAGGCTCCCTGGACTGGGCATCCCGGTAAGAGGGGTTGAGCCAAGGGCTCGGGTCTCCCTGACTTCCGGCGCTGTCAATCCACTGCTAGATAAGGGCCTGCCAACGCCACGTCGGTTATGATGATCGCTTGATCATACTTCACCGCGCTGCACCAGCTCAGTTACCACTCGCCAAGCAGCGTTAGCCGCGGTTTGTGAACCGTACTCAAGTGTCGCTGGTTTCGTAGCGGAGAGTTCTAATCAATGCTCCACCACTACATCCTAGCCATTCAACATATGAGAAGTTCTACAAAAGTTGGGTGTGGCGAAGTGGTACCCATTCACTTCGAGACCAACGCTCCCAGCCCACCGGAGTCACCGGATGATGATGATGTGGGCACGCACAGCGGCCTGTTCTGACGTTCGGATCATGTGGAACCTGAGCCATGGCCATTCTAAAATTATTCATACCCCAGTATATGGCAAGGCACACACACCCACACATACTGAGGGTCCAAAGTGCTGTGTCGGCTGTATGTACAGTGAGGGAAAAAAGTATTTGATCCTCTGCTGATTTTGTATGTTTGCCCACTGACAAAGAAATGATCAGAATATAATTTTAATGGTAGGTTTATCTGAACATTGAGAGACAGAATAACAACAAAAAAATCCAGAAAAACGCATGTCAAAAATGTTATAAATTGATTTGCATTTTAATGAGGGAAATAAGTATTTGACCCCTCTGCAAAACATGACTTAGTACTTGGTGGCAAAACCCTTGTTGGCAATCACAGAGGTCAGACGTTTCTTGTAGTTGGCCACCAGGTTTGCACACATCTCAGGAGGGATTTTGTCCCACTCCTCTTTGCAGACCTTCTCCAAGTCATTAAGGTTTCGAGGCTGACGTTTGGCAACTCGAACCTTCACCTTCCTCCACATATTTTCTATGGGATTAAGGTCTGGAGACTGGCTAGGCCACTCCAGGACCTTCATGTGCTTATTCTTGAGCCACTCCTTTGTTGCCTTGGCCGTGTGTTTTCGGTTATTGTCATGCTGGAATACCCATCCACGACCCATTTTCAATGCCCTGGCTGAGGGAAGGAGGTTCTCACCCAAGATTTGACGGTACATGGCCCCGTCCATCGCCCCTTTGATGAGGTGAAGTTGTCCTGTCCCCTTAACAGAAAAACACCCCCAAAGCATAATGTTTCCACCTCCATGTTTGACGGTGGGGATGGTGTTCTTGGGGTCATAGGCAGCATTCCTCCTCCAAATACGGCAAGTTGAGTTGATGCCAAAGAGCTCCATTTTGGTCTCATCTGACCACAACACTTTCACCCCGTTGTCCTCTGATTCATTCAGATGTTCACTGGCAAACTTCAGACGGGCATGTATATGTGCTTTCTTGAGCAGAGTGACATTGCGGATGCTGCAGGATTTCAGTCCTTCACGGCGTAGTGTGTTACCAATTGTTTTCTTGGTGACTATGGTCCCAGCTGCCTTGAGATCATTGACAAGATCCTCCTGTGTAGTTCTGGGCCGATTCCTCACCGTTCTCATGATCATTGCAACTCCACGAGGTGAGATCTTGCATGGAGCCCCAGGCTGAGGGAGATTGACAGTTCTTTTGTGTTTCTTCCATTTGCAAATAATCGCACCAACTGTTGTCACCTTCTCATCAAGCTGCTTGGCAATGGTCTTGTAGCCCATTTCAGCCTTGTGTAGGTCTACAATCTTGTCCCTGACATCCTTGGAGAGTTCTTTGGTCTTGGCCATGGTGGAGAGTTTGGAATCTGATAGATTGCTTCTGTGGACAGGTGTCTTTTATACAGGTAACAAGCTGAGATTAGGAGCACTCCCTTTAAGAGTGTGCTCCTAATCTCAGCTCGTTACCTGTATAAAAGACACCTGGGAGCCAGACATCTTTCTGATTGAAAGGGAGTCAAATACTTATTTCCCTCATTAAAATGCAAATCAATTTATAACATTTTTGACATGCGTTTTTACGGATTTTGTTGTTATTCTGTCTCTCACTGTTCAAATAAACCTACCATTAAAATTATAGACTGATCATTTCTTTGTCAGTGGGCAAACGTACAAAATCAGCAGGGGATCAAATACTTTTTTCCCTCACTGTATGTATGTATGCAATGCACTCGACTTAAGCCTGCCACAAGTATTTCTACTCATACTCTTTGGTTCTTTCGGTAAAGTCACGTAGGTATAAAATTAAATAAATCATGACGCTTGTGTTGCGCCCGAAACGTCGTGATTAATTTTATTTTCTACCTACGTGACTTTACCGAAAGAACCAAAGAGTATGGATTCCTGCAGTCACAAAAGCTCCAAAGCAAGCTTATTTCTACTCATTACAATCTATATTATGCACATCTTGTCAGTTATTCAAAATTAAATAAGTAAAGAACAAAACAACAAAATATTGATGTCATAAAAATGTTGAAAAAACATTTCACAAAGCTTGGATTGAATGGCTAATAGCTGTCTATTTGACTTAATTGCTATTTTAAACATATTTTATCAGGAAATAAAATATAAGGAAAATTAAATGAGCAACGATAATCAAATTACGTACATCTCACTCTACAATTATCGTGGATCCTATAACTTACTGCGTTTCAAAGTATCGCCTTTCTTTGCAGAGAGCCAAGTGCAGCACTTGTATAAACATGCGTGGGAGTTTGTCCCAGGCAGGGTGCAGTCTTGAAAGTAAAGAGGGGTAAGGAAGCAGGAAGCTTCCGTGAAGTCTGAATGGCGGTTACATCACACAGGACTTTCTCATGTTCAGGAGGAGGGCCGATGGGGATGGTGGTGGGACCGTGCGGATTCCATGAGTGAAGGCGTGGGTGTCAGGCAGGACGCCGCAGTTGTGCGATGTTAACTACCTCGCATCGTATGCAGGAGGTTGTGGGTTCAATCTCGACCCTGACGCCTGTACATTTGGAGTTTGCATGTTCTCCCCGTGGGTCGCATGGATTTTTCTCAGGACCCTCCGGGTTTTCCCTCCACAATTAGTAACGTGCGTTTAAAGTATTTGGCTGCTATACATTTCCACATGATAAGCCACTTCGTTGGACTACCATTTGTGGCCAGGGTGCTTCTGAAAAACAGTTAATGTATATAGCTCAGTGAGCATTACCTGGTAAAATAAAAAGTTGAGTTTAGTTTAAGCAGAGTCTGAAGGGGGAGGCTTTATGTAGCGATTCGTCCAATAAAATCAGACTTACTCTAGGAAAACACATGCATCGCAATGTGAAAAATAAGAATAAGTTTTACCCTTTCTGGAAATAAACAGGTGTTAAGATTTTGATTTAAAGCTTTCGTGACTGCAGTAATTCATATGCTTAGCTCTTTCGGTAAAGTCACGTTGAAGGGAAACAATAAAAGAATAAAATATATATAACAATAAAAATTCTCACGTTTCGACCATAACACAAACGGTCATCATCAGGCGCTAACGTTTTTTAAAAAATAAATAAATAAACACGGCGTTTAAAAATAAATAAATGCAAACCGCCACTTCTTTCAAATGTTTCTTGACGTTGGTTTTCACACCTGATGATGCCCGTTTGTGTTATGGTCGAAACGTCGTGAGAATTTTTGTTTTATATATATTTTATTATTTTATTGTTTCCCTTCAACGTGACTTTACCGAAAGAGCTAAGAATATAGGTGTTAAGATGTTCAAACACCAAAAATATACCTTTTGAAAGGCGAATAACACTGTTCGCCTTTTGGCGTTGTTCTCTGATCTGACACTGGTGAGACTAGGCCATGAAGATGGCTGCTGTCTGGTGTAGGCCAATCCGTTGCAAATACAATATTATCAGAGGATGTTTGTTTGCATGTTCACCACAAGTGCCGTGTGTGGTTAATGCAGTAAACTTAATTCCTTGCAAAATGTTTCTATTTGGAGTTTGAACATCTTAACACCTGTTTTATTGTTGGAAAGGGTCAAACCTATTTGTTTCTGTTTCACACTTGAACACGGTTGCTTGTGTTGCGATCGAAACGTTGTGATCTTTTATTTTTTTTCTACCTATGTGACTTTACCGAAAGAACCAAAGAGTATGGATTCCTGCAGTCAAGAAAGCTTCAAATAAAGATTGAAACCTATTCTTATTTGTCATACTTTGACACTGACAAAAAAAAGGCCCATGGCATGCATCGCAATGTGTACCACCGTCAGCCATGGTTAATCCACTGCAGGATTAAGGCCTCCCTAAGAAAGCGCCACCTCTACTGATTCTGCCATACGACAATCCACCTAGTCCGTGCACACTGATTTCATCGTTCCGTCTCCCTCCGTGCTAGTCCTCTTGGACGCGTCCTATTTTCTGGTAGCCACAAAAAGTGTTCGATTGCATTTTCTATTTTTGAATCAACGTTGTCATTGCTTTGTGAGCAATTATATTGCAATTGTGCCATAAGTTACGTTTCATGAGATACAATGTCAATATCTTTCATAGCCAGTAGTGCATAATTCTAGATTTAAAGCTTTCGTGACTGTTAGGATCCATACTCTTTGGTTCTATTGGGTAAAGTCACGTAGGTGAAAATAAAATCACAAAAAATCACGACCGAAATGTCGTGATTTTTTGTTATTTTATTATCACCTACGTGACTTTACCCAATAGAACCAAAGAGTATAGTAGTGCATAACTTTGTATGATCAAGAGCTTAAGTGTTTACTGTTGCTCCACACGGTTCGTGTTGCATTCACCGTAATACCCTTGATCGTGTTTGTGTCTCTGTGGTGTTGTCCCTGGTTCGTGTTGTGTTCACCTTGTATTTTTGTATTTATGTAAGTTGAACTTCTTTTGCATCATATGTGGCCAACCGTGCTATTTGGAGGTGTTTGTGTTGTGTATCTGTGTTGTGCCTTGTACTATATTTGATGTTAAAGTGGTTTGCAATGGTGTGTTTTTTAAGGCTATTTGCATGAATGATGCTTTATGACATAAATTAGTATTTTCAAACAAGGCTGGAAGATGTGATGTAACTGCATGATTTCAACATGCTGCCTCTTCCCCAACACGAGGGGTCACATCTTTTAATGGCCTGCAAAGTGTCCATCCCATGTCAAACTAACTGAACATTTTAATTATCAAGAGCTGGAATATTGTGAAATAAACTACTTTAATACGATGGGGGGTTGCTGTTTAGTCATTGAATCGCTCGGGAAGCGGGCGAATTGTGTCACGTGCCTTGAATTCAGAGAGACTTTCCTGTGAAATTAGACATGATCCATCGCGACAAAAGCGCTTTCGGCTGCGTGGAAACAGTTTTTAACGTGGTGGAAATAGCACCCACGATGTTTTCCGTGAGAAGTGAAACTCTGAAATTACTTATTGTTATTTTTGCACGTGCCCAAACATGACACCAAGACTCGGGGCGTGCGACCAACGGGGACACATGGGTCGACTTTTGGGCCACGTTTAACTTTTCTATTGAACATAAAAAACCCCAGCCCTTCCTCGTGAGCTCTGACGAAAGGCAATCCTGTGAATACAATGAAAATAAATGTTCTCATTGTGAAAGCACGAGCGTATGAAAAAAACGTTATGGTCGTGCTTTCACAGTGCCAACTGCCATAATTCGTCACGACATGATATAATATCCACTCTCATAATACTGTAGGTAGAATTAGTGCCAAACGTAGAAGGAAAAGGCTGAACATAACAGAGGACTTGATGCAGGTGGTAATGCGAAGGAAACTAAGCTTGTTTTGGCCGCACAAATGCAGGATGGAGAACGAGAGTTAAATACAAACTGCAATGATGGGAATAATGGAGGGAACTGGCAGAAGAGGAAAGAGCATGTAGAGAATGGCTGGATGACATGAGAGATTGGTGCCAGAGAGATGTGCATAAACTCAGCATGTTGTGGCACAGGATAGAGGAAAGTGGAAACAAGTGACAAACATCTTCTTTGGTTCTTTCGGTAAAGTCACGTAGAATGAGAATAAAATAATAAATTGACAAAATAAAATAACACAATAATATTCTCACGACGTTTCGGCCACAACACAAGCGGCCTTCATCAGGTGAAGGGACGAGACTGTCTGGTAGGACAGCGCTGGAGTGGACAGTCTCGTCCCTTCACCTGATGAAGGCCGCTTGTGTTGTGGCCGAAACGTCGTGAGAATATTATTGTGTTATTTTATTTTATCAATTTATTATTTTATTCTCATTCTACGTGACTTTACCAAAAGAACCAAAGAAGATGAATCAGTGCAGTCACGAAAGCTTTAAATCGAAAGTGACAAACATTGCATTGGACACCGACGGGCTTTCTGCCCATGGAGTTTTGTTGATGATAAAATAGAAAATAAATTGGTGATTAATAGGGATTGAAGGCAATAATGTAGTACTTTGCTAGAAAGCTAGATCATCATTATCACAAATATCAAGTCAGCCTGTGGACCCATACGTCTCTATGTCAAGGGAGACCTGGAATATTGTATAATGGCATAATGGCTGTTGTGATCACGACGGTGATTATTTATTGCCCAAAAGATTACAAACACAGTGGCTGTATTGACACTGATTTTATAATGGTGTTGGTAGTCTCATTGCCTATGACTAAGACTGCAGTCGATTGATAGCTCTCCGATACGTTTAAGGTGCCCGAATTGTGATAAAATGACCAATGGACATCACAGGTGCGATCAGCAATGACCAATGGACATCACAGGTGCGATCAGATGATATCAACAGCGGTTGTGGCACTGATTAGTAATGGTGATGATTCAAATTGTGCTGTTAATTGCCAGATGTTTATCGGATCCATATAGGGTCCTCGTCTAAAAGAAGAGGGTCCTTGTCTATAAATATCTGGAAGTTCGCCAGGAACGGTTTAAGGCTCAATGTAAAAACCGGTCCAGAGTTTTGCTTGTACAGCAGCATTAAAGCAATGCGATCTTGATTTGAAGCTTTCGTGACTGCAGGAATCCATACTCTTTGGTTCTTTCGGTAAAGTCACGTAGGTAGAAAAAACTAAATAAATCACGTTTCGATTGCAACACAAGCAACCATCATCAGGTGGGAAAACCACAGCAATATTTTTTTTTGCTTAAGTGGGAGAGAGATGCCGTGGTAAGAGGTTATATAAGCCCACCTAATGATGATTGCTTGTGTTCCAATCGAAACGTCGTGATTTATTTTATGTTATACCTACGTGACTTTACAGCAATGCGGCTGAAATGAATGTACTGGGTCCCTTTAGGGCATGTGGCTTATGGGATGTGTAGAAAAACACTTATTTTTTACGTGGCGGGCAAGATACGGAAAACAGGCGTGTAGTGTGAAGATTATTTACGTTGTTACACAATACCAAAATGACATCAGCGGTTGTGACAATGCTCAGTGATGATGGTGATTATCGAATTATGCTGAAGGTATTGATATTGGCCATGACTGATGGCCTTTTATCATTAACAGCATCTTGATGGCATTATTATCGGTAGTTGTGCCAATGATCGGCACTGATAGGGCACAAATGGAATGAACTTTTACCTGAGCAATCATAACCAATGTATGAGCAAAAAACATCAAGAATAACGATGCCAGAGCCAAAGCTAAATCCCAAATTACTCATCATTGTTTACGATGCGCACTGATGACTCACAATTAAGCGTTTAATCCACACCTTACATGGTAGAATAAAAAAGTTTGTATTTTTTATGTATGTTTAAGTGATGTGTTTACCTTGCTTATACTTGTGACTCCTGTCGTGTTTTTATTATTGTTTGTTGTAACGTTCTGACTCAGTGCCCCGACTGAACATCTGTAAAAAAAGAGCTTGGTAGCTCATCGGATTCCTTCCTGCGGTATATGAATATTTATTGATTCTGATTGACACCGCGACGTTACCCCGCTCATCTACATCGCCGGCCTTGAAACCAGCGGTGGACATTCCACGTTACCATGACGAGGACGCCCGTCAATGCTGTCCGTACCTGCACCGAAGATTCATCGCCCTTTTGAGGTAAAACAATAATTGTTTACGCGCCGATACGGCACTCCGGCGTGCAAACAAAACAGCACGCATGTGAACACAATTGAGACTTACAATGGGTTTTAAAAGTGCAAAATGTGATAAAACATCCACAGTGGTTGACGGTGTAGCAGAGCCGATGAGGCGAATGCACGCACGATTTTAATCGGCAACAAACATTTCTAGTGGGCGCTAACAGCAGCCTGTCGTGGTAAACTCCGCGGTATTTACATGGGAAAGGTGATGAGAGAGAATGTAAAATAAATTACCAGTTGCCGCACTACTTCTTAATGTTCATAAACGCGATCTTCAACAACAACAGCCCGGCTCGTCTCCGTCCACAATTCGTACATCGGATAGGCATGCGCCGACCTCGGATTGGCTCAGAGTGAAGGGCACGCGCGCGGATTGGCCAATAGCGGGAGGGGGTTCTGCCTGTAAGTTGTACGAAATATAAAAGTATTTGCAAGTGCGTTTATATTGGGCCGTACCACAAATATAGGTAGAATGTGCTTATAGTTATTTGTTATTGTTCTTGTGTTTATAACAAATACGTTTAATAACGTGAATTATGATATTAAACTTAGGATTAAATTGTTAAAATAAAACAAAAAATATATCTATTTGGAAAAAGAGTAAGAAAACGGTGGAATTAAATTAACCTTCAATTGTTATGTGACCCCTTCTGATGTGTTCGAATGGTAAAGTCCAAACAATGATGTCACTGACTTGAGATTTGTCTAAAAAAAATTGGAGGCGAAGTAAAATCATTACGACTATTCCACGGAAACACGTTTAGTTTCGAAAATAATTTTCCCACGCTCGCCTCTCTCCACCCATCGGTATTATTATTTAGATTATTTAGCTACAATACATTTCCACAAAAAAAACACTTAGTTTAGCTATTATTTGTGGTCAGGTTGCTTCTGAAAAATAAGATCAAAACCTCAGTGGTCTTTAACTGCAAAAAAAAAACACAATAGTTTAGTTTTATTTGTGTTAAGGTATGTGTAACCTTTCCTATAATTTGCCCTCCTATCCTGTTTGTTTGTATTGTTGTAACGCTCTGACCCCGTGCTGGACATCTGTGAAAAGAGCTTTATAGCTCATCGGATTTCTCCATAATAAAATACAAATATAAAACAATAAATTTCTCACGACGTTCCGCCACTTTTTCAAAGTTTATTGCTGTGTGGTTTTCACACCCGATGATGGTTGCTTTTGTTGCAGTCGAAACGTCGTGAGAATTTTATTGTTTTTTATTTTTATGATTTTATTGTTTCCCTTCTACGTGGTGACTTTACCGAAAGAACCAAGAATATGAATCCCTGCGGTCACGAAAGCTTTAAAACAAGAAGCAGTCTTAAAGAAGTGAGTCTTCGACTCGTGTGGACTTTGCCCGTTCTCATCCCTCTGCACTACTGCTCATCCCCTACAGCAGCGGCTCTTAACCTGAAGGTGGGGGGGGGGCGCGCGCGCACCCACTGGGGGGTGGGGGGGGCGCGCGCGCACCCTCTGGGGGGGGGGCGCGCGCACCCCCGGGGGGGGGGCGCACCCACGGGGGGGGGGCGCACCCACTGGGGGGGGGGGGGGCGCGACATGGCCAGATTTTTTTAGAAGGCAAATAATCGAAAACACAAATTAAGCACGGCAACGTAAGTGACACCTTTCTTTGTTTAATCAAACCTACGTAGTAATTAACATTTAAAATAAACTATGATTGAGAACCAAAGTGGCGCACAGCTGCGGTGAGGGTAATGCAGGAACGAATAATCCTGCCCGAGTCAGCTAACTCACTTTTATAAATCGTCTCCGGTCACTATAATTTGCACCGAAAATGTATGGGTATATTTTTTATCCTAAAACGTTAGCTCTATTCGCACGGTTGGCTACGTACGGTGCGAAAGAAGTTCAATATACAGTACACACAGTAGTGCCATCCGTCAATTTGCCAGTGCAAGTTGTTGCTGGGCCCGCTTGACCCTGTGGGTACTCAGCAAAACAATAACGTTTTTAAAAAACAACTTATCTGGACCATCTGCGAGAAAGAGCTTGATAGCTCATCGGATTCCGCCAGTATAAATACAGGTAGTCCCCGACTTACGATGGTCCGACTTACGATGGTCCGACTTACGATATTTCGATCTTACGATGGCGATAGCGATATGACAAAATTGAAAAATATTTTAAATTTCGCGCGGCAGGCAAACGTAGCAGCGTTACGAGGTACGACACTCTAACTTGATCATCGCCATCCTCCTCTTCCGACAACTAAGTTAATGTAGCCATCAACAACCTTAACATCGTTCAAGTATGCAGACGACGGACAGAATCTTGGTGAGTACACTAGAATATGATACGTTACGATACGTTCAATGCATGTATGATACGTAGCTTTAGCGATTTCATTTTAGGGTTACCACGATACGACAGTACGTTCAATGCATGTTAAAAGTTTTTATAGCAGATAGGATTGTTTCCTGAAAAAAAACTTTCTATGAAATTGCAGTTCATATAGGTAGGCTAAGACTTTACCTTGTTTTTGTTACTTTAAATTTTACTGTGCAATACAGTATTGTAATTAATCAATACAGTATATAGTTTATACAGTACGGTACTGTCAACTGCTCTGTTTTGCTAAATTACCACCATTCTTTAAGACTCCTTGGGTAGGCTAGGCCATTTTCGACTTACGATATTTTCGACTTACGATATTTTCGACTTACGATGGGGTCGCCGTAACGCATCTCCATCGTAAGTCGGGGACTACCTGGTATCTCATTCTGACCCCTCCTCAGCCAAAATTCAGTTGCTAGGGGTTACGCCTCGCCCCCCCACCTGCGAGGACGCGACCTCGCTCTCTGATTGGCTACTAGCACGGGAAGGGGGGCTGCACCCCCCTGCCCCCACCATGAGGACGCGACCTCGCCCCCTGATTGGCTGCGACTTCTCGCGCCGCGGGTTTGCTCGACCCCCACCACCGAGTCAATATGGGGCGCTGCGATTGGCTGAGCCCGAGACGTTTCCCAAAAGTGACGCACGCTTCTAAACTCACCGCGCGGAACTTCCCAGAGTTGTTATTGACGAGCCGAGCAGCGGCGGCAGCGGTGACTTGTGGTGGTATCAGCGGCCACTGGGGAGACAAAGGCGGCCGGGCGAACTGCTTTGACGGCAGCGACACACACACACACGGGTGAGTCGGCATGCATTGAGATTAAATTTTGATTGAAGGCTTTCGTGACTGCAGGGATTCATATTCTTGGTCATATTTTTTTAATTATTGTTTCCCTTCTACGTGACTTTACCGAAAGAACCAAGAATATGCATTGAGATTGTTTAGATTATTTTTCTCCGATACATTCACACGTGATGAGCCACTTTGATGAGCTGTAATTTGTGATCAGGTCGCTTTCTGAAAGATACGTTAATAGCTTAGTTGAGTTTTATTTGTATATGCAGTATATTTCGTCATTTGTTTTCCTTTTCCTATACTTTGCACTCCTATCGTGTTCTTTGCTTGTTATTGTTGTAACGTTCTGAACCCGTGCCCCCTACTGGACGTCTGTGCGGAGCAGAGTTTTATAGCTCCTCGGATTCCTCCTGCAGTTTAAATAAATATTCTGGTGAGCGCACTCCGTAGGCACCCCCCCACCACGACCTGAATTCGTCACCAGGGCACGGCTAACGTCAGTGGCGAGTCACGATCTTGGATCTTGTCTCTCGGGTCGCGAAAACTGCCCACGATTAGTTTGGGTGCCGGTCGTCAATCCACTGCTGGATGAATGCTTCCCGACGGGTCCATGCCGTGTCGGTCGATTTGGGGGGGGGGGTCATGTTTGTTTGACCATACTTCACCACGCTTGTCAGTTTCACGTTAGTGAAGGGTGCTTTGCCTATACTGCAGGGGTGGGGCACCTTTTTTCTGCCAAGGGCCATTTGGATATTTATAACATCATCATTCGCGGGCCATACAAAAGCATCAACTTAAAAAATAAGCCTGTTATATTTGGTCAAACATTGAATTCACTCGCCCCTAATGCGATGGCTGGAACTGCTTTCTCTTTGGCGAGGCGTGGTGATGATGCTAGCTGGTATTTGACGATGGTGTTGCTACTCGCAACTGCTTTTCCAGGTTTGCTCCTAGATTTGTTGAATTTCGAGTCCCGCCTGCGGTTGCCTTGGCAGGGACAGAGACCAAATGATTCTGGGGGCCCTATACGGCCCGCGGGCCGGACGTTCCCCACCCCTGCCCTATCATCGTCATCATCACTCGCCACTTGATGTTAGCCGCAGCGGGACTGCTCCAACGACTGCCATCAAAAATGCATTCACTCATAATAAAAAAAGGTTTTTTTGGGTTAGATCGCGTTAAGTATAAATGTGATGTAACCTGCCACCACCCGACACAGCCAATCAGGAAGGGATTTGTCACGTTAACAAAACCCGCCGATTAGTTACTCGTGTAGTGTATAGTGTAGTGTATAGTGCAGTGTATAGTATAGTGTATAGTGTAGTGTATAGTAGTGTAGTGTATAGTGTAGTGTACTACCTCAGCCCACCGGTGTGTGTTGGAGAGTAAATCCACGTTTACAATTTGAGAACCGTGCCGTTTCGCTCGTAATTACCACGACCAGCATCATCAGGCGATTTTCCAGAAGAGTGAAGCAGGCCACCTGCTTCCGGTGTTAAATAGAGCAAGATGACGTCAGCATTGAACCCATCAGGTGCAGAGATCAGAGGAGGAGGGGGGTTATTGTAATTATATAATAGATTATAAATAATTTAATTAGTATGTTTCCTCTGTTAAGAAGTTGTAATTATAAGATGTATTCTTCTTCCACGCGTTTGTCCCACTTATGTGGGGTCCACTGTCCTCGCCCCGCCTCTACTTCTGCCTTCCTCTCGATCTCCTCGTCTTACAATTGCAGAGTAGTAGTATGGAGACGTGACGTCATACGCGCTGTGCGGTGCGATGACGTCATGTCACCTCGGGATACTTAAGGGGGGGGCCCCCCGTGACGAAAGCGGGGTCGTTGTGGGAGCCCGGGATGGAGAGTGGTTGAAGGAGACAGCAGAGGGGGTAGGGCTCTGGGAGTCTGGAGAGAAGGCGGCGGTAGTCGTGGAAGTTGCTGCTCTCCCCGGTCGGTCGGTCGGTGTTGGCTGAACCCCCGATCCGACTCGAGTGAGAGAGAGAGAGCCCAAGAGATAGCCGAGGCTAGGGACAGACGGAGCCGCTGGTCCACGTGAAGGACCGAGTGTAGGGCACCTACCTCTGGTGGAAGTTGCCACGAACCCTTGTTAATAAACCGGCGCAAGCCCTTGCTTGAAGACCTGCCTCAGGGTCGTTATTTAGCACGCAACAACTGGTGCCAGAAGTGGTTCTGACCTTCGCTGCCATGTCAAAGTCAGCGGCGAGACGAAAGAACCCACCTGTTGTGCAATTTATTTAATAATATGGTTCCAGGGCGCGCTAAGCCTGTAGCTAGCTGTCAGAGCGGTTAAACTTATTTGTATTCATATCAATTTCAATAGATTCTCGAATTAGTCTCGGCCGGTAATAATTCGTTTGAAACAACACTTCAACGTTATCAAATCAATTCAGTGTCCTTGTTGGCAAGCTTGTTTTGCAACTGCCGACAGTTGTGTTTGAGAGTATATTTAGTTTTGATTTAAAGCTTCCGTGACTGCAGTAATTCATATTCTTAGTTTTTTCGGTAATGTCACGTTGAAGAGAAACAACAAAATAATAAAATATATATAAAACAATAAAATTCTCACGACGTTTCGACCATAACACAAACGGTCATCTTCAGGTGTGTTTTATTGTTATATATATTTTATTATTTTGTTGTTTCTCTTCAACGTGACTTTACCGAAAAAACTAAGTATATTTAGTATTTCTTTGGTGTTATTTTAGTCATACGCTGGTGTTATGTCGCGTCTGTCTCATACAGTGAGGGAAAAAAAGCATTTGATCCCCTGCTGATTTTGTACGTTTGCCCACTGACAAAGAAATGATCAGTCTATAATTTTAATAGTAGGTTTATTTGAACAGAAAAACGCATGTCAAAAATGTTATAAATTGATTTGCATTTTAACGAGGGAAATAAGTATTTGACCCCTCTGCAAAACATGACTTAGTACTTGGTGGCAAAACCCTTGTTGGCAATCACAGAGGTCTGACGTTTCTTGTAGTTGGCCACCAGGTTTGCACACATCTCAGGAGGGATTTTGTCCCACTCTTTGCAGATCTTCTCCAAGTCATTAAGGTTTCGAGGCTGACGTTTGGCAACTCGAACCTTCAGCTCCTTCCACAGATTTTTTTATGGGATTAAGATCTGGAGACTGGCTAGGCCACTCCAGGACCTTAATGTGCTTCTTTTTGAGCCACTCCTTTGTTGCCTTGGCCGTGTGTTTTGGGTCATTGTCATGCTGGAATACCCATCCACGACCCATTTTTAATGCCCTGGCTGAGGGAAGGAGGTTCTCACCCAAGATTTGACGGTACATGGCCCCGTCCATCGTCCCTTTGATGCGGTGAAGTTGTCCTGTCCCCTTAGCAGAAAAACACCCCCAAAGCATAATGTTTCCACCTCCATGTTTGACGGTGGGGATGGTGTTCTTGGGGTCATAGGCAGCATTCCTCCTCCAAACACGGCGAGTTGAGTTGATGCCAAAGAGCTCCATTTTGGTCTCATCTGACCACAACACTTTCACCCAGTTGTCCTCTGAATCATTCAGATGTTCATTGGCAAACTTCAGACGGGCATGTATATGTGCTTTCTTGAGCAGGGGGACCTTGCGGGCGCTGCAGGATTTCAGTCCTTCACGGCGTAGTGTGTTACCAATTGTTTTCTTGGTGACTATGGTCCCAGCTGCCTTGAGATCATTGACAAGATCCTCCCATGTAGTTCTGGGCTGAATCCTCACCGTTCTCATGATCATTGCAACTCCACTAGGTGAGATCTTGCATGGAGCCCCAGGCCGAGGGAGATACAGTTCTTTTGTGTTTCTTCCATTTGCGAATAATCGCACCAACTGTTGTCACCTTCTCACCAAGCTGCTTGGCAATGGTCTTGTAGCCCATTCCAGCCTTGTGTAGGTCTACAATCTTGTCCCTGACATCCTTGGAGAGCTCTTTGGTCTTGGCCACGGTGGAGAGTTTGGAATCTGATTGATTGCTTCTGTGGACAGGTGTCTTTTATACAGGTAACAAGCTGAGATTAGGAGCACTCCCTTTAAGAGTGTGCTCCTAATCTCAGCTCGTTACCTGTATAAAAGACACCTGGGAGCCAGAAATCTTTCTGACTGAGAGGGGGTCAAATACTTATTTCCCTCATTAAAATGCAAATCAATTTATAACATTTTTGACATGTGTTTTTCTGTGTTTTTTTGTTGTTATTCTGTCTCTCACTGTTCAAATAAACCTACCATTAAAATTATAGACTGATCATTTCTTTGTCAGTGGGCAAACGTACAAAATCAGCAGGGGATCAAATACTTTTTTCCCTCACTGTATAGCATCTGCCACATGAGAAATTGATCCGATACACACACACCCTCTGTTGATAACTTAGGCAATTCAGCTTTAGTACAAGATAGTAATTTTAGAATTTTGTTTACCGTGCCAAATATTACTTAGATTGTTTGCTTTTCCAAAACTCTAGCTAATTTGTCAGTTACTCCTGCGATATATGGTATTGTAAATGTTTTAATAACCTGATCGCTGTCAGCAGTGTTGCTCTTCGATCTTGGTTTGGCATTCAATGCTCCGTTAATTTGAGCATTGTTGTTGCCATTTAATTGTCGCGCTTCTTTAACATGTTTAATCTCTGTCCTCAGACTTTCACCATCTGACACTGTTTTAGCCCGATGAATTAGCATCTTGATGAGAGAGGATTTCTGTGCAGGGTGATGATGCAAATCTGCATTCAGATAGGCATTAGTGTGCGTTCCCCTTTCGGTAGATGCTGCGTGGTGTTATTTTACCATTTAGGCCGCGTCCGAGCAAAATAAACAGGAAATGGTGAACTGGATGGCCGGGTTTTGCGAATTGAGATGATTTAGAAATTCATGAGGTGTATCTTTAGCATGTGGTCAGACAACCAAAGTGTCATCTCTATATCTAAACCAAAAAGATGGTTTTAGTGTACTTGAGGCAAGAGCTCTTGATTCAAGTGTTCCATGTACAGATTCGCAGTAGCAGGAGACAAAGGAGAGCCCATTGCTGCTCCTTCCTTTTGTTTAAAGAAATCACCTCTCCATAATAAACAAGTTTTATTTAAACAATATTCAGAGAGTTTTGAAATATCTTACAGTATACCTGTTTTATTTACTAGCGTATCAAGTAATTTAAGTGACTCGTTAACTGAAACCTTCTTAAATAGAGTGCATTAAAGCTCACCAGAATATCATTAGAGGTAAGTTTAATATCATTAATCACATTCACAAGATCTTATGATTCTCTTATGAATGAAGATGTCCTACCGATGTAGGGCTGTATTTGTTTAGTTACATATTTTTGTAATTTATGTGGCAGAGCCTATTGTACTTACTATGGGTCGTAATGGGATACCGATTTTCTTAATCTTTGGTAACCTGTAAAGTCGAGGTGGTTTTGAGGCCCTTGGCTTAATTTGGTATTGCTCAGCCAAAATAATTGAGAATAGCAAAGTTCCAAAAATAAATATTAGCCTCAGTGAAGCAAAGGCCTTAAGAGAGCTTAGATCAAATAAAGGTATCAATATCCTGGTGGCTGATAAAGGCAGCACAACTGTAGTGATGCCACGAGTAGGCCTCGGCAAGGTAAGGTAAAAACAACCAGCCTACCTTTATCCTACCATTTACCTTACCACAATTCAATCACTTTACCCTTACCTTTTATCCTTTAGCAAGCTAAGGTAAAAGGTCAAAAGCAACGAGCCTACTTTTACCCGACGTTTTACCCTTGCCCCGTACAAATTACCCGATTACAGGGTAATTACTGGGGTATGACACATGAAAAAGGTTTATAACAGGTAAATGCTAGGTAGAGCGCTTTATTCATATAGAAGACTCGATTATTCCAATTTTAAATGGAGGCCACGGACTGCGCCACGGAGCTTTTAGCGGTAAACAAGGTACCGTATTTACCGGGTAATACTTCGCGCTACCTTTACCCTACCAGGTAATTCTTACAAGCTACCTTTACCCTACCCTTTACCTTACCCCTTGGCATGTCGACCCCTTTACCTTTACCCTTTTACCCAGTAAAAAGGGTAAATTACCTTACCTTGCCGAGGCCTAGTCACGAGCGAATTATGATAATAAATTGGAAGATTTACTGGAGGAAAGTACCTATATTAAAATTAAACGAGATCCAACTAATACTTTAGAACATAAGACTACTGCAATAATTTCAAATTCATTAATTCCCATTTTTTTGTAGGTCCTAGGCACAGTGCATAATACTGTGGCCTATTGGATAATACGGCCCTGTTTACCACGCTGGTCACTGCCGTAAAGGAGGAAGACCCAGGAAAAATTGAGATCACTCGCCACTGACAGTCGATCGTGCCCGGAAATAGAACCCAGGGTCGGCCGAGGTCATAGCGTGATTCGCTAACCGCTGTGCACCACCGCTGCTTCGCTGTTACGGTGAACTTTTCTCCACGCACGCGTTCCTGCATGCAGTGGGTTAGTGGGAGCTGTAGGGTTCTTGGGGCGGGGCTGCCAAGTGTGGCCAGGAGATATGTGTGCAGCAATGGATTATTTGATCTACCCGTGCGGAGCTTTTGAGTGTCACTCCCTCCTATGAGTGGATGGTGGGGTTTTTTTTCTCCGCTTTGCTCCACACATAAATTCCAAAACTGGTAATTATTGGAATTTGCCAAACATCTCAATTTAGCAGGACCCTCCTGCAAAAAGATTGTGGACTCCTCAGTGAGACTTACCATGGTTAAATGGTCTCCCATCCAATGTTTGTAATTTTTCCATATAGCACGTTCAGGCACCAGCTATTGTTCCTTCAAATATTATTTTAATTTATTTGGCAGTCTGTAATTGGACGAAGGCCTGTCTTGGAGCTTGTTTGACCATACTTCACCACGCTGGTCAGTGTGGATTGGCGAAAATACATTATATTTACCCCCTAGTCTTCACCCCCCCCCTTCACCGTCCGCCCCCCACCCCCGACCGATCACGTCTGTATGTCATGGTGCGTGTTGGTTAGCTGAACCCACCCAGTGTTCTTCATTGCAAGGCTCGTGGGCCACTGGTGGCCTTTAGCGCGGCCCCATGACGTGCGGTCACCCGGCACAACACACACACATTTGAAAACACCCCCCTTTATCGTCATCGTGCTTTCAAACCCAACAATGTTTTCAAATGGCGTGGCAGACCCTCGCATTGATGACGTCTTATTGGCGAACCTGACCCAAGAACACACACAACTGTGCGTGGCAGTGTTTCGCAAAGATAGCTTACATATGAACACCAGTTCCCACTGCTTAAAATAAAAAAAACGACCGCATAGGATGTACAGTGCAGGGGAAGTATGTTGATATAAATCTACCAAACGCCCTGGTTTGGCAATAGACAGGCCTACCGTGATTTCCACCCACATGTATTAACACTCATTAATTGGCTTAAACATCTTAACATATAGAGGACTGCAGAGCCTGGGTAACGTTTGGTATCTCCTGGCTCCTCACTACCCGGCTGCTGCCATACAGAGCTGTGTTTCCTCGGCGAATGTGAGAGATGCAATTTGCACAAACGACGTATGTATGTGGAACTTCTTTCGCACCGTACGTAGCCAACCTTATCAGAGGTGCGGGGAAAGGAAAACAAACTAAACACAAAAAGCAGTTTTAAAGAAATTAGTTTTCAGTCTAGATTTAAAAGTGCATAGTTCCAGTGGCTTCCTGATATCGGAAGGAAGAGCATTCCAGAGGGCCACAGAAGCACATCTGAAAGCGTGCGATGCGGTGAACGATGACGATACTGTATAGATGCAACTAAACATAGTTGTTATTATTCTCACCTGAGTAGTGGGCGGGGCAATGGAAAAGTGGGAGGTGCTAACAGAGGAAGTTGGTTGCCAGCTCACCATGTGCCCCGGCTTGAGCCTCCCAGATATTTCGGCCGAGCTTCGTAAATAGTGATCGTACACCCAAGTGAAACGTTCTCGGTGCCTCCCTGCTGCACACTGACGTTACTCACAATGATAATCTTTATTTAGACTGCAGGAAGAATCTGATGAGCTCTGAAGCTCTTTTTCACAGATGTCCAGTAGGGGCGGTTCAGGAAGTTACAGCAACAATACAAAAAAATAATGTATACAAATACATGTTTTTAAATCTTACCAGGAAGAGCCCACTGAGCTATTAGCTTCCTGTTCAAGAGCAACCTGGCCACAAATGATAGCTGAAAGAAGTGGCTTATCCTCACGTGGACATCCTGAGCCAGCGACGGAAATCCCACACTTGGTGCCCACAGTGGTGAGCCAGGATCACCTCCCTCACGCAGGATATTAACTCAGAGCATTCATATGGCTTGGCGATTAACGCAAACCGTGATAAAACCTGATTGCTGGTAAATCTATTTAAAATGACTCCTGTCATCGGGGCTTCGGACCAAATCACCCGGTGGCTTGCCAACCCTAGCCTCCAAAGTGTGCGTCACCGAGCCCGGCATTTTTTTAAAAAGAAGTAATTTAAAAATAAATTTCTACTTTTTTTTTGTTCTTTCAATCTCCTTCCACTGCCGTGGCTTGCAGGAAGCCATGGCTGCTGCCAGGCCAACGCTACGGGAATGGGTGCTGGGACTTGTGGACCGCAGTGAACTGGGCCTCGCGTGGGTTGACAGACACCACTTGTGCTTCAGCGTCCCCTGGGGCAGAAGTCCCGGAGCTTGCGACTTCATCCAGGTACGGCTGATGCAGACCCCCCCTCGAAGACGAGCATCAAGATTCGTACTCACCCACTCGCGCCTCTGGCGAGCCACTCGCTCTGCAGCCGAGTCGCCGGGCGCTTAAAAATCGAGCCCGTGTTTGTCGTGGAAGAACACACTGCGATACGCCCACCGTGTACGAACAGCAATGCAATGGCATCGCGATGAACGATAAAGGCGTCGACCCGCATTGGGCGGGCACATTTCACGAGCGAACAGTTGGGCCTATGTGTGAGATAAATCGTTCCTGTGAAAATGCAAACATTTTGATGAAGCACCAATTATCTACCACGGGTGTCCAGTTTCATGAGCGCATGAAACCGGACACCCACGTACAGCAATGCACAGTGCAGCAATGTTTCTCGTCAAGACATCGCATACTCCCATTTTATTTAATCCATTGTCCACCCTTTTAGCATACACACGCTAAACAAAATATCCTCGCTTAAACCATAATTAAATGATTACCTTGCATATCAAAAATAGGCACGGACGCGACAGATCCAGGCGAGGAACAGTTGCATGTTTTGGCCCAGGAATGAACGACATCGTGGTATTTCGTGAGCGTATACATCCCTTTGGAGAAATCAACATTTTGTCAACGTGAACCACAGTCCTAATCGGTTGACACACGATGCCCAAGTGAAAAAAAAAACCTCACCATAATACCAACGATTACCCACATCTTTCAAAAGTGTCTGAAATTGTGGAACTGCCCGACAGCGCGGCCCACAGCGGCGTCAGTGGCTCCAGAGTGGCTGTGAGCGGTGAGGCCACTGTACAGAACTCCGCTCGGCACGGCGACACCACCGTTGGCGTACGATCGCACGAACGATTGAACCCCACCCCCCACCCACGTCTCTTTAAGTGTCTCAAGCGTCAATTGAAAACTGTAATTTTTTTTTTACCCCGGTCACCCTTGCAAATGAGACTCAGAATATGGGTATTTTGTTATCCTGGAGAAATCCGATGAGACGTCATCCTGGTCGCGTCTGCGTTCCTTACCCCGGTTAGGCAGAGCACACTTGAAACTTGCACGTTCGGAGATTTACGAAGTGGCCCCGACCTGATTTTGCTCTCCCGCGGGTTGCTCTGCGCCCGCAGCGATGGGCGACGGTGTTCGGCAAGGACACGGGCACCGAGGATTTTGCCAAGTGGAAGCACGGCCTGCGCTGTGCCCTCGACTCGCAGTTCACCTACCAGTCCGAGGGCATCGATCGGCCTCAACGTCGCCTCTACAACAGCACCCGCCCTGCCAAGAGCAAAGCCAGCCCATCGTCCCAGTCTCAAGCCAGCCCATCATCCCAGTCGCAAACCAGCCCATCGTCCCAGTCTCAAGCCAGCCCATTCAACCAGTTGTACACCAGCCCATCGTCCCAGTCTCAAGCCAGCCCATTCAACCAGTTGCACACTAGCACCGTGTCAACGCCTACATTGCCGGACCCGTTAGGTGCGTATCGGTGTCTCTCTGAAACTGGGTTTCTATCTCATGGGGGTGACAGTGGCCCTCCAGTTTCCAAGACTCAGAGTTCAAGACGACCTCGAACGAGGCGTCTCTCTATTCACTTATTTGCCGAGTCAGCCCGGCGTGGCTCAGGAGACACTTTAGGGTGCCAAGGTGGCTAGGAGATGTTCACTACCTCGCCTGGTATACGGGAGGTCGTGGGTTCGATCCCGACCCTGATGCCTGTTGTATATTTGGAGTTTGCGTGTGGCTTTTTCTCCCCTCCACATTTATAAACGTGCGTTTATAGTATTTGGCTGCTGTAAATTACCACATGATAAGACACTTCGTTGCGGTATCATTTGTGGCCAGATCGCTTCTGAAAAGAGCTACATAGCTCATAGCCTACCTGGGAAAAAGAAAAAAATGTTTAAAAGTTTTTCCACTGCAAAAACCAAGCCGTACCACTAACGCCGTACGCAATGATCGAGTCGGGACGTATGTATGTACGTCGCCAACCGTGCTCATCGGAGGTGTGTATGAATGTATCTTGAACTTCTTTCGCACCGTACGTAGCCAACCATACTAATTGGAGGTGTATGTATTTTGAACTTCTTTCGCACCGTACGTAGCCAACCGTGCAAATCGGAGGTGTATGTATATTGAACTTCTTTTGCAACATACATAGCCACCCATGCTAATTGGAGGTGCGGGGAGGGACAACAAACTAAACACGCCGCATCCTCACAGTGTACTGACTGACATCGCTCGCAACATAATGCATTAATAGCCCTGCGCCTGGCCCTGCTTGGCCCCCCCGAGCCAGATTCAGATGTTAATACGGCATAGCACGGTTTGGTTTACGGTTCGGCACAGCAAATAGCCCTTTGCTAGGCCACTGCCGGATAAAGGCCTCGTCAAGTCGTGTCGGTCATAGGGCTTGTCGGGCCATACTTCACCACGCTGGTCAGTGTGGCTTGGGGAAGGCTCGTAAACCATCAAACGTCCTTGACGATTCTCTTTACTTTCCAGATGACTTGGAGGATCTGACTGCTGAATTTGCCCCAAATCCGCATCTCCCCGTGCAGGAGAGCGAGGTAGGTTCGCCAATCGGCGCCTTCCTGGATGCGCGGGCGAAACAAAAAAACGGGGACGATAACCGAAAAAATGAGAGCTTTTGCTTAATTCAGACAAATGGCTCGAAGGACAGAGTCGTTCGTCAAGAAGGTTACACGGATTGTAAAAAAATTAAAGCGCAATTGAAACAACAGACATCCATCCCTTTGATGTGTACGCAGTACGTTCCTGAAAGGTCGTCGGCGAAGCGAGATTCCGTGGATCGAACCGTTGCCGAATCGGAGACACCCGTCCCTACGGAACGTAAAATTTGGCCCCAAGACCATAATAAAATCACCCTTGAGAGGACAGCAAACCTTTTTAAAGCACATATTGAATGGGGAATCGATGATTTTATTTCAAAATTATTCTAATCAAGTCGCAGGAAACCCGTGCATGATATATATTGCGGGAAACCAGTATGCATGTGCTGTACGTAGCCAAGTGTGGTAGTCAGAGGCGCAGACTCCAGCTTATTCAGAATGCGGCTGCTAGAGTGCTTACACCACGTACACCTTTCCGTGACCACATTACACCAGCCCTCTTATCTCTTCATTGGCTACCGGTCAAATTCCAAGTGGATTTTAAGACACTGCTATTCACCAATAAGGCATTAAAAGGGCTCACCACACATTACATGCAGGAACTAATACATTTATATATTCCATCGAGGTCCTTAAGATCTTCTGATTTCCAACTGCTCAGGACTCACGGGTCTAGGGTTGTGCTCTTTTGGCAATCGGTGCGATTGTTAGCGGGGCACCCATAAGCTATGGAATGCCTTGCCACTTGAAGTCAGTCGCTAGATATACTTAAGTCTGCTTTGAAAATCCATCTCTTTAAAGTGGTTTTCCTTCTTTAAAGTCACGTATTGTTTCCCTTCTACGTGGTGACTTTACCGAAAGAACCAAGAATATGAATCCCTGCAGTCACGAAAGTTTTAAATCAACATTTTCCCTCTTTAGTTCGGTCGATTGGCCCTGGCTCTGTTTTTGTTTCGCTGCTTTCCATGCATTGCGCATTGGGACCCTAGGATGGAATGCGCATTATACATCTGCATTATTGTTATGAGAAAAGGAGCTTCTAGAGCAATGAGTTTTCAATCTAGATTTAAAAGTGCATCGCTCCCAATGGCTTCCTAAGCGCATCTGAAAGCGCCGCGCGATGCGGTGGCCATCTTTGTTCGACGGGCAGCCAAAAAGCCGGCGCTGCTGCTGCTGCTGCGAGGGTGACCGGAATTTGCGTGATGATGGTTTACAGCTCCCTGACGACATCGGAAAGGGTATCGTGGTTCATTCGTAAATAAATGTGTTATTTGTAAATGAATCAAGACACGGTACATAACAAGCGCGGCGTGTAAACATTCGGGAGCGGCATTCATAGCCGGGTGATGACGAGCGAAAGAGCGCGCATATTGTTCGATGTTCCCCCCCCTCCCCCCGAATAAAAGTGTCTCATTTATAGAGTCAAGATTCCACAAATGCATATTTAGTGTAACGTATTTCGAATCCGTTCCCTAATTTATAAGTTACGTTTTAGCGAGAACTCCGCCTACTGAGCCGCCATTCAACGAGGCACAACTGTATTGATATCGGGTACCACAAAATATAACGCGAGCTGGTAAATGGTAAATTTGAAAACACAGTGAGAGCTGTGTTGTTTGCGGAGTGGGGGGGGGGGGTCCAAATGACCGCGTGTCATTCGGCATGAAGTCCAACGTTTCAGCTCCTGAAGAAGCTCCCGGCCACGCGGAGCGGAACGACGGACATCGTGCCGAAAAAGCCGGTGGTGCGGCGCGTAAAACAAATCGGAGAGCCGCACACTGTTATTGTCGTTGGAATCAATCGGTTCCCCTCCGCGGGAGGAATCTCCGATTAGCACGGTTGGCTACGTATTGTGCCAAATAAGTTCTGCATACGTGTAGGCAATCTGCAGCGCCCGGAGCAAAATCACACGCATGTACGAGGACGGGGGGGGGGGGGATTGAGGAGCTGAGCCTGGATAGCCAATGGCCAGAAGGCAGTGGTGGAAGAGGAGGCGTTTGAGATTTGAGCTGTGATCGTGTGTTCTCCCCCAGGCGGTTGGATCGATGTTCTGCTTCAACGGGATGATGGACAGCCTGGGCGGTGAGCAGAACTCTCTCCCGTTGCTTCTCACGGACGTGATCGGAGGTGGCAACACCGTAGGCTTTCGCGATCCAATATTACTCTTAACAAAGGTTGTTGGGTTTAGATCGCATAAATATTAATGTTAACTCGCCACCGCCCGACACAGCCAATTAGTAAGGTTTGTCACGTGAACGAAACTTTACAATTCATTACTAGTTCGGCACACCGGTTGTGCGTTGGAGAGTAAACCCACAACATGTACAATTTGAGGACTGTGACGTTTCGCTGCTGGCCACAACCAGCTTCATCAGGCGGTTTGTCAGTAATTTGACGAAGCTGCTGTTTGTAATCGCCAGCGAAACGACGAATCTATTGAAGCTGGGTGGGCTGGAAAGAGTGCTTACGCACCACTTCGTGGACCAAAGGTCGCTTTGAGTGACCTCGGAGGCAGATCTGCGATATTTGTCTCCGCGGGCCAATCTGCAACACGAAGGGTCGCGCTGCTCGGCAAGAGATCCGAGTGGATTTGTCATCCCCGTGACTTGATACCAAGGACATAAACGGCATGGACTTGGTGATGGGCGGGGGGCAGGGGGGGGGTAATGACAACGCTTAAAAAAATAAAATTCATAAAAGGTGAAGAGGGTCAGCGATTGATTCGCGATGTCCTCCCGTATGCTAGCGGCCGGCCCGGAGCCTTCTGCTGAAAACCGGCACGTGGACTTTGTGAACTCGGTCTCCGAGGTGACGGAGACGGAGATGTTTGTGGCGACTGCCGCCATCCCCTGCACCCAGACTCTGCAAATGGCAGGTGAGGAGGGGCGGTGGTGGCGGTGGTGGCTAAGGTGATGACGCGTGCAGGTGGCTTCAGTCGTTGAGTCACGGCAATACGAGTGGCGGTGGACTGACTTGTACAAAAAATAATAATAGTAATAATTGACCAAACCAGACAGTAGTCAATGCAGAGCAATGCAGGGCTCTCCCGAATAGGAGTCTGAAGACTTGGGGAGTGATATCGCGCATTGTTTGGCACGATGTGCGACGTTTCGCTCCACGAGCCAGGAGATTCTTCGAAACCCGGATATTGAACTAAGACAGAACAAGCATGGTTGTGTGTGTGTGTGTGTGCGCGCGTGTATATAACTGAACGGTAGTGTAGTGGTTAGCGCACTGCGCTACGAACCTGGCCATCCGGGTTCGAATCCCGCTCGCGGCCAACCCAGTGACGATTATTTGAACCGGTCCAGGGCCTCCCTGAGGTCGACTCAGCCTCAAATGAGTACCTGGTGCGGTGTGTAAACATCGTCACTGGGGAGACAAAGGCGGCCGGGCGTGGCGCTGGCCACCCACCCCCTCGTGTGCTGTGCCGGCTTTCATAAGTGCTCGCGAACAGCACTTGCCCAAACAGTCTGTTATAGGCTATGCGGGGGATCTTTGCGTGGATCTTTGCGTGCATGCACGTGTGCGTGAGTTTCGCACGTGTGCGCGCGCGTGTGTGGTGTTGCGAAGGGGAGCGCGGGCGGTGCATTCCTTCGGTCGCGACATCCCGCTACTAAATGGAGCCTTCGATGCAGTTCCACGCGGCCTCAAACGCGCGCCCACTCTGCCGGCAAAACAATAACCTTTGCTCTTTGTCGTGCGCACGTGCTTTGTACGTGTGTGTGTGTGTGCGTGTGCGTGTGTGCGTGCAGTCACGGACCTGGATTTCAAGGTTCTCTACAGAGGGAGCGAGGTGTTTAAGGCGGTGACCAGGACAAACCGCTGTATCATCTGCCATGACCCCCCACAATCCTCTGTACCATCACCGCCGCAGGTGAGCCATAGTACCCGGCCCTCACGCTCCGTCAAATCCTGCCGGCTACATTTTGAGTGGGATTCACTAAGCTACCTATTAGGAAGTCACTAGAGCAGTGGTTCTTAACCTCTACTGCAGCCTTGCACCCCTTTTGTTCGCTATTAACATTTTTTATGTTAATAAGGAATATTTTTTTAAAAACACGCTTTATTGAAATGTACCGTACTAGTAATGGCAGAACTCCACGACTCCAGGAAGTGGCCCAGAAGCTTGCCACAACGTAAGGGGACCCGTGGTGATTTACAGCCAACGTGAGTTGATCGTGGACAATTAGGCCCAAGCCGAAACATAACATATAAAAAATTATGTTTCAAATGTTTATTTTTTAATTTTTAATGATAGAATATAGTATTGTCATCATTATGACATAAGTATACCAAGTTTTCAGTCGATACCGCATTGGGAAGTGGGTAAAAATTCAGTTACAAGATTTGAGGATACAACAGACAGAGTGAGTTAATATAAAGTGTGTAATAATAAATACATAGGGTTTGATGAAAAAAGTAAGTTGTTACTTACATGCCCGTGCTTAAATTGTGTTTTTGATGATTTACCTTCTAAAAAAAAAACTTGCCATGTCTCGCACTCCCAGGGGCTGCATGCACCCCAGGTTAGGAACCATTGCACTAGAGCGATGTACTTTTAAATCGAGATTGAACTGCTCTTTGTGTTTAGTTTGATGTCCTCCCCCTCCCCGCACACCTCCGATTAGCACGGTTGACTATGTACGGTGCGAAAGAATTCTAGATTTGAAGCTTTCGTGACTGCAAGGATCCATACTCTTTGGTTCTATTCGGTAAAGTCACGTAGGTAAAAAAAATAAAACAACAAAAATCACGACGTTTTGGCCACAACACAAGCGGCCTTCATCAATTCCTTTGTCGAGGCACCTTAATCCCTCTCACACAGCTTAAAGGTTCGCAGTCTGAGCTTGGCTCTGTTTCACTCCAGCGCAGTCTTCGAGACAGGCTGGTCCCTTCACCTGATGAAGGCCGCTTGTGTTGTGGCCGAAACGTCGTGATTTTCGTTGTTTTATTTTTTTACCCTACGTGACTTTACCGAATAGAACCAAAGAGTATGGTGCGAAAGAAGTTTAACACGTATAGATGCGCTACATGTGGCCAGGGTAAGGGCTAGCCGGCGGCGTGAGTGTAGAGTCGGCGTGGTTTACTTTATTCAGTCTCAGTCTGGACCATGACAACCAGTGGAAGGTTTGTTGAGTCCCAGCTCATGGATTCCATTGAATTGTCCTCGTAGTTGAGTCTACGAAAACTGTGAAAAGTTTAGTCCACTCCGAGTTAATTACATGCCCATAGGATATTTGTTCAAAGACAGAAAGAGGAACACGTGGATTTCGAATCGGCATCGCACGTTTTGGAGTATTTGGCCGATATAAATTTCCGCGCGACAAGTCAACTTCGTTGGGATATCATTAGCGTTGGCAGGTCGCTTCTGACAAACAGCTTCATAGCTCAGTTTAGTTGATGTAACGCAGGTTAATAACATTGAAAACGCAAGGAAAGTGAGCAGCCTAGGGCAGGACTTGTCTGGCTGCGTAAAACGAGTGTCAACCGAGGAATAGAACGCATCGGAAGGTTCCACGGTGGTCACCCTGGTTAATACCGTGGGTGCATTAATGATGATATATTCCCTGTCCGCTTCACGGGGGGGGGGGGGGGGGGGGGGACACTGAAGATCCCGTGACGTAATTAGGAAAAAATTGTAGGAGGCTGCGCGTGCGTCGGCGTCACGGTCCAAAGGATTTTCCACGTTTGATTCACCCTTTTTGACGTTCCAATGACGTGCGTGTACCCAACGCACGCGTGCGTCATCCGGTTTTTCTTCCGATCCCCGTTCCGATGACAGGAAGCGGCCGCGTGCAGCAGCGTAGCCACCACCACCACCACCGCCTCCTGGCTAAGTGCCGACGATGGCGGTGATCGACGATGACTGACAACAATAAAAAATGTGAAACCTGCTTTGTCGACCTCGTCGCTTGCAAGCAGGACACGGCCGTCATCTCGCTGCCGCCGCCCGTGGGCTTCAACGAGCAACAGCGCTTGACGGCGAGAATCCTGGAGCCGCTGGCGCGCATGTCGGCAGACATGGGCGGCGTGGTGCTGGAGGTGGACCGCCACGGCCTGTACGCGACGCGCCACGCGCTCAGCCGCGTGTACTGGTCGGGGCCCAGCACGCCACGCCACGCCGCGCCCGTCAAGTTGCCCCGCGGCGAGCGCGTCTGCCTCTTCAACCTTGAAACGTTCATGCAAGGTCAGCTCCGCCCACCCGCCCGCTTGCTCACCCGCTTGCTCCGCCCGCCCGCTTGCCCGCCCGCATGCCCACCCACCCACTTGCCCGCCAGCTTGCCCGCCAGCTTGCCCGCCAGCTTGCCCGCCCGCTGATACGCAAACAGCACTTTCCCCAAAAGTCTGTTGAGGCTATACGGGGGGGATCTTTGTGTCTTTGTGTCTGTGCTTGTGCGTATGTGCAGAATTGATCCAGTTTATGAAAGGTTCACCTCCAAGGCCTCAGCCGTCGTTTGAGATCCTTCTGTGCTTCGGGCAAGAGTGGCCCAATGGGACATTGGCTGAGAAACTGATTATGGTGCAGGTAACGTTTCCCCCTTCATTGGTTTTGTTCAAACAAACGATGTTGCCCATCGTAATGCAAGCGGGCACATAGCCCCAACCATGCTTAATCGGAGGTCCTTTTCGAACTCCGGTTTAAAGAATGTTGCTACCTTTGTCAATTTTTTCCATCTCTCTATCTCCTTTGCATGCAGCCGTGTAAGAGTTCCAAATGTGGATAGTCAAAATCGCAGACAGAAAGTTCGTTAATAACGAGGAATCATGTGCGTGCACGGGCTAACGCGGGTAGCGGAAATAGAAAACTCAACTATATTTTATTTTACCAGATAAGGCTCACTGAGCTATAGAGCTCTTTTCCAGAGGTGGCCTGGCCATAAATGATAGCCCAATGAAGTGGCTTATCACGTGGAAATTTATAGCAGCCAAGTACTCTTAAACGCACGTTTCTAAATGTGGACGAACAAATGGAGAACACGGAGAAGAATCCACACGACCACGGGGAGAGAGACACGCAGTCTCCAAATATACAGGCATCAGGGTTCGGGATCAAATCCACAACCTCCTGTATACCAGGCAAGGAAGTTAACATCTCGTAAGTCGAATGTTTCTTCCTGTTCCGCCCCCACCCCACCCCGCCCGTCAGGTGCAGCACAGTTTGGCCCGCTTGCTGGTGGAGTTGGCCCGGCAGGGCGGTGCGTCCTCGTTGGACGGCTCGACCGTTAGGTTGCAGATCTCCGACCCCCTGAGCAACGAGATGATGGATGTGGACCAGATGGACGATTTTTTGAAGTGGATCAACGCCGACAGCGGACACCAGTAGTAGGGGGGGCTCGGCCGTCGTGCGGCGGCGGCGCTGACGAGCAAGACTCATTTTGTTGTCGGTAGTTCGTTCGTTGCTAAAAAAAAAAAATATTTTTTGCTTCAAAATATTTACGAAGCGATGCGCCCGTGCTAGTTGTACAATGCCATCGCTTTCTGACAGCATGTACATAATTTAAAAAAAAGCATTGGGTGTGTGACGTTGAATGGATTAGGAGACTCGTGGCAGGCAGGCTTTAGTTCAAATACGAGCAATATTTGAGCTAAATTTATTTGCTAATTTTCAGAGAGAGGGGGGGGGGGGTACACTTTGTCACGTTTAGGTACCGCAGTGACCTGCACAGTTTTGATAACAGACCTGGTGCTGAGAAACAAGTATTGGTTTGGTCTGTGCCTCTTGCCTGTTAGCTTCTGGTGTCGAACATTTTACCATGTGCAACCCGTGTGTGATGTATATATAAAAAAAAAATCCCATTGATTGATTGCTTCATTTGCAATACATTCACGCAGGCCTTTTTTTTTTTACAAAATTGCTTTTAAACTAAACTTTTATGGGAAAACTCACGACGACTCGTTTCTTTAACCAGTCACTTCCGTCGATTCGTGTTGTTCAATGAAGCGATTTATATTTAATGTTACGATAACGACTTGTGATCCCTCCCTCCGCACTCCCTCAAACTCTCGCGATTCCTAAGCCTACCCTCGTGCTACAAAGTCACCCCTCATTCACAACACGTGACGATGAACGAGTCCAATGTGCAAGGGCGAGCGACTGGGTGGGTGCCGTGATGATGCGGCAGAGGAGAGTCTCGGAGTGAGTCCAGGAGAGGGCGAGTCTCGGAGTGAGTCTCAGAGTCCAGGAGAGGGTGAGTCTCAGGGTGAGAGGGTGAGTCTCAGGATGAGTCTCAGAGTGAGTCCAGGAGAGGGTGAGTCTCAGAGTGGGTCCTAGAGAGGGTGAGTCTCGGAGTGAGTCTCAGAGTGAGTCCAGGAGAGGGTGAGTCTCGGAGTCTCAGAGTGGGTCCTAGAGAGGGTGAGTCTCAGGATGAGTCTCAAGAGTGAGTCCAGGAGAGGGTGAGTCTCGGAGTGAGTCTCAGAGTGAGTCCAGGAGAGGGTGAGTCCCGGAGTCTCAGAGTGGGTCCTAGAGAGGGTGAGTCTCAGGATGAGTCTCAGAGTGAGTCTAGGAGAGGGTGAGTCTCGGAGTCTCCGAGTGAGTCCAGGAGGGGGAGGGGAGTGCGGGGGGGGGGGGGTCATGGGGGGGAGGGGTGTAGGGGGGATGGTGGGAGGAGCATACGGGGATTGGAGGGAGGGGCGTGTGAGGGATTGAGGGAGGGGCGTGAGTGGGGCTCTCCAACGGTAATAATCGGCGACGTTCCGGTCGATGCACCAAGCGTCGCCGACTGCATGTTTGTGTTACTTTTAAGGCCACACGGGGTCATTATTGACGAGTGTCGAGCCTGTTTGTTAACTGTGCTTGTGCACAAATCATTTGTCAATACTACAACATTTCATTACAGCACCACCGTCAATTCCCCGACATTAAATTGCGGCATTAAAATCAACACTACAGCATCATATCATTGTGGTATTCCCATCAATATAACATTCCATTGCAGCATCACTATCACTTCCATTCCGCGTAATTACAGCATTACTTTCAATTCCCGAACACTCAATTGCACCTTTGCTGTCGAGACGATAACATTAAATCGAGATTTCCAAAAGGATTCTTCCATTTACTGCAATGTAACCGGGGAACACCCCACTGTACACATTCGTAATGACTTGCCCCACTTCTCTTGAGATGGCACTTCATTGAAGACACGTTCACTTGACATCAGGCGGAGACCCCACCGCAACAGCCCCGAATCTCCCGTGCATCTCCCTTTTATATACCGACACGCGGCCACGCCCACCTTATATACCGACACGAGGCCACGCCCCCCTTCTCGAGCCTTCTCGCTGACTCCGGACGCTCGCTCTACCGGCAGACTCCCACCGTCCTCTTCCGTCACCTGACCACGGCTCCCTTCTCGAACATTCCCGTAGCACGCCAGTCCCTACGCGCTCACAACCGATACCGCTGTCATTACCTCCCGTGGCCACTAGTGCACTCATAGTGTAGGCGGACTTCCCTGTTATTACCTCCCGTGGCCACTAGTCCCCTCACACCGCATGCAGGGTCTATTGTCATTACACATCGAGTGTCATGCGGCCATCATCATCATCATCACCGCTGGTGTTCCCTCTCTTGGCCGTGACGGGGGACCGAGCAACTGCGCGTTAGCCACTCGTTGCTCGAGGCGTGCAGTGCAAAGTGAAGGTCGCAGAGGTCCGCGGTTCAAATCCTTCAGGTCGCCCTGGTTAATACTATGGGTGTATTACAACAAAATATACATTTAAAAAAATACCAGGTAATGCTCACTGAGCTACATAGCTCTTTTTCAGAAGTGACCTGGCCACAAATGATAGATCAACGAAGTGGCTTATCGCGTAGAAATTTCTATCAGCCAAATACTCTAAATGCACGTCGATTCTAAATGTGGAAGGAAAAACCGGAGGACCCGGAGAAAAATCTAGGCAACCCCGGGGAGATAAGACGTACAGCAGGCGTCAGGCGAGGTAGTTAACATCTCGCTACTGCGGCATATTAACCGTAGTCACTGTGCACCGTCTGTTTTATCAGCGGACGTTCATGATGTCGTAACGTTGTAATTATTGCGCGTCTGCGGCCAGGTCCAAATGTTGCCAAATTGAATAAAAATTACACCAGAGATTTACGTAACTCGCAAAACGCATAGAAACATCGCTACCGACTGCAACACTACTCCAGACCGTCTGTGGAACACAGCGCCACTGTGGAACACAGCGCTTCTTTAAAAAAAAAGTGGCACAAAAACCAAGAGCGCTAATTATGAGACTCAGAATCTTTATTTAGACTGGAGGAGGAATCCGATGAGCTATGAAGCTCTTCACTCACAGATGTTTTGTAGGGGCACTTGGTCAGCGAGTTACAACAAACGATGAAAAAAAACCCGCTAGGAGTGCCAAGTAGGGAAACGGTAAACAAGTAAACGTAGGTGAAAAAATAAAACTATAAAATAAATAAAATCACGACGTTTCGATTGCAACACAAGCAATCTATTTCACAGAGTTAATTACATCCTCAACGTTTAGCAGTGCAGCAAATTTATTGTTTTGAGCTCCAGCATCTCTCTTGACGGCAATCGTGAAGCCGTTTGGCTCTCCTCTCCGCACCTGACACCGCGTCAGGATACTTCTTAAGCCCCCCCTCTGCCCAGTCACATGATCTCAGTCATCATCGCACACGCAACGCTCCCCACCATCTCCTCATTTCCTCCCCCTCCACCGCCCTTCTCTGACTTATATAAACCCTCTTAACTCCGGCATCTCTCCCACTTCAGTTAAAACATGTTTCTTGCTGTGGTTGTCACACCTGATGATGATTGCTTGTGTTGCAATCGAAACGTCGTGATTTATTTCTATTTTTTTATTTTATTTTTTCACCTACGTGACTTTACCGAAAGAACCAAAGAGTATGGATCCTTGCAGTCACGAAAACTTCAAATCTATAAGTAAAGTCACTAAATGAAATGAATAAAATATAAAAAAAACACAACGTATGATTTTTATTCCTTGCCTTAACTGTATATAATACTTTTTTATTTTCTATGTGGAGGGACGTACAGTGAGGGAAAAAAGTATTTGATCCCCTGCTGATTTTGTACGTTTGCCCACTGACAAAGAAATGATCAGTCTATAATTTTAATGGTAGGCTTATTTGAACAGTGAGAGACAGAATAACAACAGGAAAATCCAGAAAAACGCATGTCAAAAATGTTATAAATTGACTTGCATTTTAATGAGGGAAATAAGTATTTGACCCCCTCTCAATCAGAAAGATTTCTGGCTCCCAGGTGTCTTTTATACAGGTAACGAGCTGAGATTAGGAGCACACTCTTAAAGGGAGTGCTCCTAATCTCAGCTTGTTACCTGTATAAAAGACACCTGTCCACAGAAGCAATCAATCAGATTCCAAACTCTCCACCGTGGTCAAGACCAAAGAGCTCTCCAAGGATGTCAGGGACAAGATTGTAGACCTACACAAGGCTGGAATGGGCTACAAGACCATTACCAAGCAGCTTGGTGAGAAGGTGACAATAGTTGGTGCGATTATTCGCAAATGGAAGAAACACAAAAGAACTGTCTATCTCCCTCGGCCTGGGGCTCCATGCAAGATCTCACCTCGTAGAGTTGCAATGATCATGAGAACGGTGAGGATTCAGCCCAGAACTACACGGGAGGATCTTGTCAATGATCTCAAGGCAGCTGGGACCATAGTCACCAAGAAAACAATTGGTAACACACTACGCCGTGAAGGCCTGAAAATCCTGCAGCGCCCACAAGGTCCCCCTGCTCAAGAAAGCACATATACATGCCCGTCTGAAGTTTTCCAATGAACATCTGAATGATTCAGAGGACAACTGGGTGAAAGTGTTGTGGTCAGATGAGACCAAAATGGAGCTCTTTGGCATCAACTCAACTCGCCGTGTTTGGATGAGGAGGAATGCTGCCTATGACCCCAAGAACACCATCCCCACCGTCAAACATGGAGGTGGAAACATTATGCTTTGGGGGTGTTTTTCTGCTAAGGGGACAGGACAACTTCACCGCATCAAAGGGACGATGGACGGGGCCATGTACCGTCAAATCTTGGGTGAGAACCTCCTTCCCTCAGCCAGGGCATTGAAAATGGGTCATGGATGGGTATTCCAGCATGACAATGACCCAAAACACACGGCCAAGGCAACAAAGGAGTGGCTCAAGAAGAAGCACATTAAGGTCCTGGAGTGGCCTAGCCAGTCTCCAGACCTTAATCCCATAGAAAACCTGAGGGAGCTGAAGGTTCGAGTTGCCAAACGTCAGCCTCGAAACCTTAATGACTTGGAGAAGATCTGCAAAGAGTGGGACAAAATCCCTCCTGAGATGTGTGCAAACCAGGTGGCCAACTACAAGAAACGTCTGACCTCTGTGATTGCCAACAAGGGTTTTGCCACCAAGTACTAAGTCATGTTTTGCAGAGGGGTCAAGTACTTATTTCCCTCATTAAAATGCCAATCAATGTATAACATTTTTGACATGCGTTTTTCTGGATTTTTGTGTTGTTATTCTGTCTCACTGTTCAAATAACCCTACCATTAAAATTATAGACTGCTCATTTATCTGTCAGTGGGCAAACGTACAAAATCAGCAGGGGATCAAATACTTTTTTCCCCTCACTGTATATATGAAGGAGATACCGTATATATAGTCTGCTTATTTATTTTATAATTAAAATATAAGAGATGACGGGGGACTGTTAGGGCAGATCTATAGGTATCTGTGCTAGTCTATGGGTTTTCTGTGAGCCTGTGGGTATCTGTGCGAGTCTATGGGTTTTCTGTGAGCCTGTGGGTCTCTGCGTGAGTCTGTGGGTCTCTGCGTGAGTCTGTGGGTCTCTGCGTGAGTCTGTGGGTCTCTGCGTGAGTCTGTGGGTCTCTGCGTGAGTCTGTGGGTCTCTGTATGAGTCCGTGGGTCTCTGTGCGAGTCTGTGGGGCTCCTTGTGAGTCTGTGGGTCTCTGTATGAGTCTGTGGGTCTCTGTATGAGTCTGTGGGTCTCTGTGTAAGTCTGTGGGTCTCTGTGTGAGTCTGTGGGTCTCTGCTGTGAGTCTGTGGGTCTCTGTATGAGTCTGTGGGTCTTTGTATGAGTCCGTGGGTCTTTGTATGAGTCCGTAGGTCTCTGTGCGAGTCTGTGGGTCTCCTTGTGAGTCTGTGGGTCTCCTTGTGAGTCTGTAGGTCTCTGTATGAGTCTGTGGGTCTCTGTATGAGTCTGTGGGTCTCTGTGTGAGTCTGTGGGTCTCTGCTGTGAGTCTGTGGGTCTTTGTGCGAGTCTATGCGTCTCTGTTTGCGTCTACGAGTCTCTATGTGGGTCTAAGAGCAGATGGAGGGATTTTGCCAGTGCAGATATTGGAGGTGATGTGTAGCAGCTGCGCGATCCAGCGGAGGGGAACAAGCCCTGGCTATGAAATAGACACCCATCACAAGCATGGCGTGTGGTTCATGCAGACGTGATGCCTTGTGATATTGGGTGTCTATTTGGTGTTTGAACATCTGAACACCTTCCCGTATCCTTACCGGAAAGGATCAAGCTTATTACATTTTTAAGAAAAAAAAAGAGTCCCAAAGACCAAAACCAGTTCCTCATCAGGGATCCTACAGTCTGTCCACATGGCTTCAACCTACCACGCTGGACAGGTTCCGGACGCAGCGGTGCAAACCAACCTCCACCGCTGGGGTCTTTACGACAACCAACACCTGCAGCTGTGGCTCTGTGCAAACAGGTGCCGCGTGTTGCTGTCGCTGATGACCGTCCGCTCAGTCCGGCGGAGCTACAACACGGCCCGGCAAGGATGCCACCGCACAGCATGGCGATTGCACGCACTCGCTCAACGAATCAAATTTGTGAAAGGTTTCAAGGAGGTTGACCAGATCGTTGAAAGCAGCGGTGGCTAACCGGCGTCTCCCGAGCCGCGCGCAGCTCACCAATCCACCGCACGCGGCTCACCAATCCACCGCGCGCGGCTCACCAATCCACCGCGCGCGGCTCACCAATCCACCGCGCGCGGCTCACCAATCCACCGCACGCGGCTCACCAATCCACCGCGCGCGGCTCACCAATCCACCGCACGCGGCTCACCAATCCACCGCACGCGGCTCACCAATCCACCGCACGTGGCTCACCAATCCACCGCACGCGGCTCACTAATCCACCGCACGCGGCTCAACAATCCACCGCACGCGGCTCACCAATCCACTGCACGCGGCTCACCAATCCACCGCACGTGGCTCACAAATCCACCGCACGTGGCTCACCAATCCACCGCACGCAGCTCACCAATCCACCGCACGCGGCTCACCAATCCACCGCACGCGGCTCACCAATCCACCGCACGCAGCTCACCAATCCACCGCACGCGGCTCACCAATCCACCGCACGCGGCTCTATTGAAGGGGGCATAACGTAGTACGTACTCTCCCAGTAGTAGCAATGGATAATGTATCCCGTGCTGTGCCTAAAACCGTCAAGATGCTGTGACATCGCGGGATGTCAACCTGCAGTGCCGGCGTTAAGAGGCACGGCGTGCGGTGTAACGACATCGCGGATACCACAGTGGTGTGGGTGTAGTACCGGCCCTAGAGGGGCCCGGTGAACGCTGATTGATAGCGCTGGATGGCACCACGCTTTGCGTGCAGTGCCGACCCTACAGGACACGGTGTGTGGGTGCCAGCCTAGGGATGAGGTTACTCGAGGCCATGGCCCTCTGGTTGACCCGGGAGGACACATGACCGGTTAAGTCTACAGAGGGGCCCCCCAAGTGGGGGCTAGGGGTGGTCACGTGGTTGGGATCCAGATACTTCCCGAGGATTCTGGAAGGTGGTCATGGCCAAGGCCACGCCAGAGAGAATATCAGCCGGGTCCCCAGAGGGACCGGGGTTGTTGTTGTTGTTGTTGTTCATCCTGAAGAAACCTTCGTCTCCGTTCAACGAGTCTCCAACACGTAGAGCCTGGCCCGAGCTGTGGGTCCCGGTCCGTAGTAGCAGTTACGTTGTAGCTAGTGTAGTTACTAGTGTAGTTACTAGTGTAGTTAGCCTGTGGCTAGTGTAGTTACTAGTGTAGTTAGCCTGGTGGTTAGTGTAGTTACTAGTGTAGTTAGCCTGTGGCTAGTGTAGTTATTAGTGTAGTTAGCCTGTGGCTAGTGTAGTTAGCCTGGTGGTTAGTGTAGTTACTAGTGTAGTTAGCCTGTGGCTAGTGTAGTTACTAGTGTAGTTAGCCTGTGGCTAGTGTAGTTACTAGAGTAGTTAGCCTGGTGGTCACCACCCGGCTAACTACACCAGTTACGTTGTAGCTAGTGTAGTTAGCCTGGTGGTTAGTGTAGTTACTAGTGTAGTTAGCCTGGTGGTCACCACCCGGCTAACTACACCAGTTACGTTGTAGCTAGTGTAGTTAGCCTGTGGCTAGTGTAGTAACTAGTGTAGTTAGCCTGGTGGTCACCACCCGGCTAACTACACCAGTTACGTTGTAGCTAGTGTAGTTAGCGTGTGGCTAGTGTAGTTACTAGTGTAGTTAGCCTGGTGGTCACCACCCGGCTAACTACACCAGTTACGTTGTAGCTAGTGTAGTTAGCCTGGTGGCTAGCGTAGTTACTAATGTAGTTAGCCTGTGGCTAGTGTAGCTACTAGTGTAGTTAGCCTGTGGCTAGTGTAGTTACTAGTGTAGTTAGCCTGGTGGTTAGTGTAATTACTAGTGTAGTTAGCCTGTGGCTAGTGTAGTTACTAGTGTAGTTAGCCTGTGGCTAGTGTAGCTACTAGTGTAGTTAGCCTGGTGGCTAGTGTAGTGACTAGTGTAGTTAGCCTGTGGCTAGTGTAGTTACTAGTGTAGTTAGCCTGTGGCTAGTGTAGTTACTAGTGTAGTTAGCCTGTGGCTAGTGTAGTTACTAGTGTAGTTAGCCTGTGGCTAGTGTAGTTACTAGTGTAGTTAGCCTGGTGGCTAGTGTAGTGACTAGTGTAGTTAGCCTGGTGGTCACCACCCGGCTAACTACACCAGTTACGTTGTAGCTAGTGTAGTTAGCCTGGTGGCTAGTGTAGTTACTAGTGTAGTTAGCCTGTGGCTAGTGTAGTTACTAGTGTAGTTAGCCTGGTGGCTAGTGTAGTGACTAGTGTAGTTAGCCTGGTGGTCACCACCCGGCTAACTACACCAGTTACGTTGTAGCTAGTGTAGTTAGCCTAGTGGCTAGTGTAGTTACTAGTGTAGTTAGCCTGGTGGTCACCACCCGGCTAACTACACCAGTTACGTTGTAGCTAGTGTAGTTAGCCTGGTGGCTAGCGTAGTTACTAGTGTAGTTAGCCTGGTGGTCACCACCCAGTAATTAGCCTGGTGGTCACCACCAGCCTAACTACACCACCAGCCTAACTACACCCGTCACGTAGTAACTAGTGTAGTAACTAGTGTAGTAACTAGTGTACTAACTAGTGTAGCTAGCCTGGTGCTCACCACGAGGCTAGTTACACTAGTTACGTAGTTACAAGTGTAGTAACTACTGTAGTAGCTAGTGGAGTTAGCCTGGTGGTCACCACCCGGCTAACTACACCAGTTACGTTATAACCAGTGTAGTAACTAGTGACGTAGTACTAGTGTAGTAACTAGTGTAGCTAGCCTGGTGGTCACAACCCGGCTAACTACACCAGTTACGTTATAACTAGTGTAGTAACTAGTGACGTAGTACTAGTGTAGTAACTAGTGTAGCTAGCCTGGTGGCCACCACCATCGGTTCTTATTCTGTTAAGGGGAAGTTAGCCCGTCTATCAGAGTTGAATAAATGTGTTGCCTCCAAGTCTACGTCTGCGACGCAGGTGAACCCATTACAAATATATATACACTAATATATATACAGTAATATATATACACTAATACTGGTAGGAACGAAGTTGTAAACTGAGTGTACCAGCCTGCAATAGATTAATGCGTCCGTCCGTCCGTCCCCTTTCAATACTTTAATGAAGTGAAATCTCGTGCTGTTGGGTGTAAAAAAAATTCCAATGTTCCTACCAGCCCACCCTGCAAGGACCTGTTATATATACACACTAATATATATAGACACTTGGCTCTTCGCAGAACTCATGGGTACTTTTTTGGCTCTCAGTCTGTTACAGGTTGGCCACCCCTAGTTTAAAGGAAATAGAAAATGTCTTGCTACATCCCCGGTGCTCTATCCTGGCCACATGACCCAGCCAGTACATCCCCCCCCAACCAACGTTTGGCCGGATGGAGGTGGCTAAACGTGCCGGGCATCAGGCCGGAGAGCAGACGGAACTGATGTGGTGCAGGAGTTGCCACCGATTGGACTTGCCGACGACCGGTGCCAGCGGTGTCAACATCGTCCTCCGCGGAGGAGGCTCGTGCCGGACGCGACTCCCGACAACCGGACATCTGTGGAGAAGCTCAACGGATTCCCCCAGGACGAACAAAGTTCCGATCACACGCACAGCAGGGCGGCACGGCGGGGAGGACGCAGGCGTCTCCGTCGGTGCCACCGCTGCCCCTACTCCGCGTGTCTCCACGCGTCAGGGCGAAGGGCGGGGGTGGGCGAGAGGGGAGGGGAGGCGGGGGGGGGGGGGGGGGGCCCGCTCCCCTGGGCGGGCGTCGTCGAACTGCCCGGGCTGCACCGCGAGCTGCGACAGGTTGAGGAGGGCGCAGGCGAAGGAGTCGCGGCGGCGCTGGGCGTGGTGCATGCCCGGGAAGTAGGCGCCCGGGAGCGGCGCGGCGGCGGCGGAGGCGGCGGCGGCGGACGGCGGGATGGAGAGCTCCTCGTCTCCTGCGAAAGCGGCGGCGCCGCCGCGGCCGTCGACACGGCATTAGGGGCCGGAGTCGGCAAAAACCCCGCGGCTTCCGGAGCCCGCCGTGCGGTGGCCCTTTGCGGGTTGCAGTGCGGTTCTTGAAATCCGGAAAAAAAAAAAATGGCTTTTCTCGTTATTATCGCGTGGACATTTATGGCAGCCAAATACTCTAAAACGCTTGTGTTTTTAAATGTGGAGGACCCAGAGAAAAATCCACACGACGACCACGGGGAGAACACGCAAACTCCAAATATACAGCAGGCCGTCAGGGTCGGGATCGAACCCGCGACCTCCTGCATACCAGGAGAGGGAGTTAACATCTCACAACCACAGCGCCCAGCCAACGAGCCCACCACCACCGCCACGCTGCCTGCCGGTCGCCGGTCGTCCGTGGCAGCGATCGGCATCGTCGTTTGCGGTGCAACTTTATTTGGCAAATGTTCTAACCGTGACGCTGGCACGCACTGACTTACTGTCGCTAATAATTACTTCATCCGGGGCGGTGGTGGCTGCCAACGCCTTTAATCCAGCACCGTGGAGGCGAGGGTTGGCGGATCGCACAAATGTTGTTCGACTCCCTTCACGTTGGCGTCGATGAGGTGCCCGTACCCTGAATTGCCAGCGGAAGGCAGGTGGGGGACAAAATGTTCATCCCCCACCTGTTCCATCTCCGCGGAATAAATCTTTGCCCCGCCTTTACGCAGAGCGTGGGTTTTCTCCCGAACGTAAGCGCTCATCCTACGGCCGATGAAAACCTTCGCGTATAGGGGGACCGCACAGCATGGGCAGTTGCTGGCGCTGGCTCCTCGCCGCCGCGTGGTTGCTGTCTGCGGCTCGTCCTCGCGGGTCTCTCTCTCTCTCGTCGTCGTGAACGAGCGAAAACCGTGTGACGGCGTGCACGCACAAGTTGTCGTCGTTGTTAATAAATAAAAAAAAGTAACAGTTTTTGTGGATTTAACACTAAGGAAGCTTTCGCGACAAATATTATTCACGACAAACGAACATTTTTCACGCGCTTTTATTTAACTCACTCTGTTGTTGTTGTAGTTGTTGTCGTATCCTCAAATCTTGTAACTCAATTGTAACCCACTTCTCTATGTGGTATCGACTGCAAACTTGGAAACTTATGTCATACTGATGACAGTGCTATATTCTATATATATAAAAAATATTTTTAAACATTAATTTTTATATGTTATGTTTCAGCTTGGGTCTAATTGTCCACGCTCAACTAACGTTGGCTGTAAATCACCACGGTCCCTTACGTTATGGCAAGCTTTGCGGCCACTTCCTGGAGTCGTGGAGTTCTGCCATTACAAGTAGGGTACATTTCATTAAAGCGTGTTAAAAAAAAGTATTTTTAAATATTACTTATTTGGGTTAGATCGCGTAAACAAAAGTGTGTCACTAAATTCTGGCTGTCGCCTGATAAGCCTGGTTGTTGTAATTACCGGCGAAACGTCACAGGACACGAATGGTAAATGTTGGAGTGGGTTTACTCTCCAGCACACAACCACTGAGTGCTGCACTAGCAAAGAATTGGCACGTTTTGCTTACGTGACAAACCCCTTACTAGTTGGCTGTGTCGGGTGGTGACGGGTTTAAGGACACATCTATATTTTACGCGATCTAAACCCAAAAAAAAACCCTTCTATTATGATTTTGTGTGGAGCTCGCTTCAGGATTAACCGCCAATCGGGACGCCAGCTCTTACCGTAAGGACTTGCTTTGTCGATCTCCAGGTCCCAGTCCTCACTGGGACCCAGCTGCAAAGGATCAATACCAGGCGAGGCAGCGTTCTCCTCCTCCTCCTCCTCCTCCCCATCATCGTCACAATCGCTCTCATCGCTCGGGTCTTCTCTACGGACGTAATGATTCTTGCCGCTGTTGAACTTGTGGCACGGGGACATCTGCCCGTCCCGGCCGTCCCCGGCCTCCCGCACGCGGCGATCGGCGGAGGCTGCGGGCCAGAAGGGGCTGCCGCTGTCGCCCGCACCGAGCTCCGTGTCTGCAGCACACGGCGGGCTCAACCTGGAAGGAGGGCACCGCCCGCAGATGATCCAGCACACGCCGATGCATGCCAGTCACTCGCTCGCCCTGTGGCCAGTCAGTCATCTGCTATGTCGCGCTTTTATCGCTACTACCATGGTTACTGTTCCCATGGAGTTCACTTGCATGAATGTACAGGGACTCCGCTACTTGCGAACATTCGACTTACTAACTGTCAGAGATACGAATAAACCTGGTCCGTGTGTCCAGTTGCCTGTTCGGACCGAGAGACGTAAGTTTAACCGCCGCGCAATTGATGGCGGTGGTGGCATCTACATCTGCAGAACGTGAAGAACCATTGGCATCAACATCTACAGGAGATTATACATTTTTTTAAGCCATTCCCCGTGTTTAGTATACAAGCCACACATGTTTGAAATCGACAGGCGTAAAGTTGGATTTACGAAACAAATCGACTTACTAACAGGCCTCTGGAACCTAACTGGTTCATAAGTAGAGGAGTCCCTGTATGTTGAACTTCTTTCGCACCATACGTAGCCAACCGTGCTAATCGGAGGTTAGCATGGTCGCAACTACACTGCAGGTCACCACAACGCACTCAATCACCCACCAACTCGCACCGACTAGCAAGGTGAAGTATGGTCAAATAACCCCTACGACCAACATAGCATGGGGAGGTCTTCATCGAGCAGTGGATTGATAAAAGTACTTTCAATTATGACGTTGTTAATGTTATTCAGGGTTGCTATGGTATTGTATGGGTTTGATTTGTACTGCATTGTAGTTGCTGGTAATGTCGTAAGGTTTTAGTTGTATTATTACGTAATTATGCTTACCGCTGTTATATTATCACCAGCCTTTTGCCCGTCCAAGGACGGGTGTATTGCAGTAAATCTGAAAGTTGCAAGCGAAGATCAGACCACAACGTGGTAATAATTGCATCAATCCGTGTGCAATTAGTAAGGGCGCCGTGACAGACCTATTTCATTTAAAGGTTATAATCCCTTGTTCATCGCGACGTCCTTTTTACTTTGATGTCTCAACAACAGCGTTACGTAGATCACGTGACATGAGGGTTCTACCTTTGTAGCGAGGGTTGTCAGTTGACGCCGAGGAGGTGCCTCGGCCCCCCCCCCCATGTGGAGAGACGTCACCCGCTAATTATTATTAATGAGGAGGGGGGGGGTGTCCATTTGGAGGACGTCACCTGCTCATGATTATTAATTAGGGGGGCTGCTCGATGTGGATTGACGTCACCTGCTCATGATTATTAATTAGGGGGGCTGTTCGATGTGGATTGACGTCACCTGCTCATGATTATTAATTAGGGGGGCTGTTCGATGTGGATTGACGTCACCTGCTCATGATTATTAATGAGGTGGGGCTGGTCGACGGAGTGACCTCACGAGCGTTAAGGACATTCCTGGGTGATTATGGCGTGTATGTATTATTGTTGACTGTTGCAATTAATTGCGTTGGTATGAGTGAACAAGGCGAGGGTGAATGGGTGAGCGGGCGAGTTGACGAGGGTGGGCGAGCGAGATGGTGGACTAGTGGGTTAACAGCTGAGCAACATCGCGAGTGAGTCGCATTCTCAGGTTCATTCTGAGCTGTACGAGAAGTCAAGAGGCCGGGGACGAGTCTCACTTGCAAGTTGGTGGATGCAAGAGAATAATTCAAAAATAATAATAATATATTTTTACGTTACCATGTAAAGCACACTGAGCTCTGTAACTCTTTTTCAAAATCCGAAGGAGACGAGTGATAGCTCAACACCAGTGGCTTGTTACGTGGAAATGTATATCAGGAAAATGTATGTACGTCGGGGGTGGTAGAAGAGACATGCTCCTATCATCCCAATTTGAGTTATATTCGTTAGCGGTGTCACTTTTGCCAAATAGCCTAGAGTTGACTCTTGTTAACGCGGTTAAATGTACCGTTATATATTTTAAATATTTTAAATGTACTGTATAGGTAGATTTAACATTGTATTTTTAGTACCGCATTCGTTTGTAGAGCTGTTAACGTTGCCGCCATAGCAATGATTTCTATTAAGGCAAGGCTGTAATTATAATAAATATTGGGGGGGGGGGGGGCACCCCCCCCCCCCCCCCCAATATTCAAATATGCTCAAAATGTCCCCCCCAATATATTGCTATAAAATAGATTTCTGTTTATATGATTGTGGTTATGGTTGTACTTTATAAATCCCTAATCTCTGCCGTTACATACAATGACACAAGAAAAGGTAGAAAATAATAAACAGAGCGATGTAAAACAACACACTATTAGACATTATTGTAAAAAAATAAAATCCATCCCATGTGTTTGTGAATTTTTTTATATTTTAGGCAGGAAATTAGTTTTCAAATTTAGATTTTTTTTTCTGGGGGGGGGGACCCCCTGAAGGATCTGGTCCCCCCCAATGTTGATTCTATAGCTATGGCCTTGTATTAAGGTCCTTACATTATTGAGGTTGTTGTATTATTGAGGTTTTAGCAGTCGGGAGCGCGCTGATTGCTGCCGTGTAGATTACAACCGAGTTCAGTAGCGACTGAGCAGTACAAAGATCCCCCGTGTAGCCTTGACAGACTGTCGGGGCAAGTGCTGTCAGTAGTAGCGAGTATCAGCACCTTACACACAGACAAAGTTCCCCCGTATAGCCTTGACAGACTGTCGGGGCAAGTGCTGTCAGTAGTAGCGAGCATCAGCACCTTACACACAAAGTTCCCCCGTGTAGCCTTGACAGACTGTCGGGGCAAGTGCTGTCAGTAGTAGCGAGCATCAGCACCTTACACACAGACAAAGATCCCCCGTGTAGCCTTGACAGACTGTCGGGGCAAGTGCTGTCAGTAGTGTAGCTACTACTACTACATATGTAACTACTACTGCTGTACAGATGTGTAGCTACTACACGTGTAGTGTAGCTACTACTACTACATATGTAACTACTACTACTGTATAGATGTGTAGCTACTACACGTGTAGTGTAGCTACTACTACTACATATGTAACTACTACTACTGTACAGATGTGTGGCTACTACACGTGTAGTGTAGCTACTACTACATATGTAACTACTACTACTGTACAGATGTGTAGCTACTACACGTGTAGTGTAGCTACTACTACTACATATGTAACTACTACTGTACAAATGTGTAGCTACTACACGTGTAGCTACTACTACTACATATGTAACTACTACTGTACAAATGTGTAGCTACTACACGTGTAGTGTAGCTACTACTACTACATATGTAACTACTACTGTACAGATGTGTAGCTACTACACGTGTAGTGTAGCTACTACTACTGTACATGTGCTGCTGGGATAATCCGGCACTGCTGCACACGAGGGGGTGGCCAGCAACCACGCCCGGCCGCCTTTGTCTCCCCCAAGTGGCGACGTTTACTGCACACCCCCACCAGCTCACTCGTTTGAGGCCGAGTCGACCTAGGGGTGGGGGGTGGGGGAGGCCCAGGACCGGTTCAGAATGCTCCGTCACTGGTGGTGTTGGTGGCCGCGAGCGGGGGAATCCAACTCGGGTCGCCGGGTTCGTGGCGAGAGCGCGCTAACCGCTGCACCACCGCTCCCCACGATTAGACAGTACTCACGCTGCCCGATGTGCCGTCAAGAAAGGGGGCATTACCCGAAACGTCGCCTATTACATACAATCTTAAGCCCCCCCCCCCCCCCACACACACAGTGTTATTGGTGTTGTTAACGAATGCCTTGTTTGTTTGTTGTTGTTGTTTACCGCAACCAACGGAGCAGCGACGTCACCAAACACACGACGACGAGCGTAGCGGCTTGACATCCCTGTTAATGTTCTAACAGCTGCCGTGGCCGCTGCACTCGTGCTATCGTCGCCCGCGTTACAGGTACTAAGTAACTAAGGTTATTGTTGTTGTTGGTGATGGTGCTGCTGTTGTTGTTGTTGTCCACGTGGTAGAATTCAGCGGCGCCCGTGAGATGTGAGCGATGGGAATGAAATCTCGTGGCAGGCGCCGTTAACATCGCAGGACAGAAGTCGCGGTGGGTGGGTGGTTTGGTAGTGTTCATCCAGCAGTGGATAGACCAATGAGTGATGAAGAGTCAGCCGATCTCTCACCTCGTCTCGTCTCCCTCCATGTGCTCGCCACGTGTCGGCAGCGAGACGCGCTCTGATTGGTCCACTCGCCCACCCTTGCCGGGAGCGGCTCTGATTGGTCGACTCGGCTTAGAACGAACTCAGCATCTCCTTAGCTCTTTCGGTAAAGTCACGTTGAAGGGAGACAATAAAATAATAAAATATATATAACAATAAAAATTCTCACGACGTTTCGACCATAACACAAACGGTCGTCATCAGGTGTGTCGGTTTGCATACATTTATTTATTTTTAAACGGTGTATTTATTTATTTTTAAAAACGTCAGCACCACGGGCAGCGATGTCAGTTTATTTAGAAGGACGAGTCCATCTATGTTCTGAAAAGAGGAGGGGGAGACGAAAAATTAATGTATGCTGTCTGAAAGCCACCGTAAGCGTGAACAATCAAGACCTGAAATGGTTTATCAAATCCTTCCAATGATTGCTAAACCAGAATCCATCTTCTCGGTTGAAATTGTCTCTGTGCTTGTATATGTGGATAGCCTCATGAACGAATCTCTCATGGTAGCCAGATGGCTTACAAAGAACCTCTGTCTTGGAAAAGTCAATGTCATGTGAGCCTACTGAATTATAACAGTGATCTGCCACGACCGAGGTGTTGGTCCTACCGTGTTTAAGGTCTGCTTTGTGTTCACGAATGCGGTCCGAGACATGGCGTTTGGTTTCTCCAATGTAACTACTACCACAGAGGCAACTTAGTTTGTAGACACCAGGGTACTGTATGTCCGGAATCACATCTTTTACAGACGTAACCAGATCACGGAATAAACACAAGATCCACGTCCGTTTCAACACATTACATAGTTCAACAAAGTGGCTAAATATCACGTGGACATTTATAGCAGCAGCCAAATACTATAGACGCGTGGTGACGTTGATTCTAAATGTGAAGGGGGAAACCTGGAGGAGCCGGAGACAAATCCACACGACCACGGGGGAAGAGAGAGACGCGCAGACTCCAAATATACAGCAGCAGCAGCAGGCATCGTCAGGGGCAGGATCGAACCCACGACCTCCTGCACACCAGGCGGGGTAGTTAACATCTCATAGCCACCGTGATGATAATGAGAGAGAGACGTGCAGACTCCAAATATACAGCAGCAGCAGGCATCGTCAGGGACGGGATCGAACCCACGACCTCTTGCACACCAGGCGAGGTAGTTAACATCTCATAGCCACCGTGATGGTGAGAGAGAGAGACACGCAGACTCCAAATATACAGCAGCAGGCGTCGGCAGGGTCAGGATCGAACCCACGACCTCCTGTATACCAAGCGAGGTAGTTAACATCTCATAGCCACCGTGATGAGAGAGAGAGAGAGACACGCAAACTCCAAATATACAGCAGCAGGCATCGTCAGGGTCAGGATCGAACCCACGACTGCCTGCATACCAGGCGAGGTAGTTAACATCTCATAGCCAACGCAGCGATGATGAGAGAGAAAGACACGCAAACTCCAAATATACAGCAGCAGCAGGCATCGTCAGGGTCGGGATCGAACCCACGACCTCCTGTATACCAGGCGAGGTAGTCAACATCTCATAGCCAACGCAGCGATGATGAGAGAGAAAGACACGCAAACTCCAAATATACAGCAGCAGCAGGCATCGTCAGGGTCGGGATCGAACCCACGACCTCCTGTATACCAGGCGAGGTAGTCAACATCTCCGGCGGAGGGTAGAGCGAGTAGGCATTGAGGTACCGATGGACATCTGTGAAAACAGTGCTGCCTGCCGTTCGTTGCTCCTTGGTTTCCTCCTCCCGAAGACTCTGACTGTGAACCCGCGTGTATCGTCGTTAGGGGGCAGTGGTGTCCTGGCATTGGCTGCACGCCTTTGAGCTGCGGACTGACAGGCCAGCCAAGCCAGCTCGTGTGGCAGTCGCCAGGGGTGGGACACAGTGCCGGATTATCCTCGTAGCAACAGTAGCTGCATGTGTAGTAGCTGTAGTAGCTGTATGTGTAGTAACTGCATGTGTAGCAGCTGTAGTAGCTGCATGTGTAGCAGCTGTAGTAGCTGCATGTGTAGCAGCTGCATGTGTAGTAGCTACATGTGTAGTAGCTGCATGTGTAGCAGCTGCATGTGTAGTAGCTGCATGTGTAGCAGCTGCGTATGTGGTAGCTGCATGTGTAGTAGCTACATGTGTAGTAGTAGCTGCATGTGTAGTAGCTACATGTGTAGTAGCTGCATGTGTAGCAGCTGCATGTGTAGCAGCTGCGTGTGTAGTAGCTGCATGTGTAGTAGCTGCATGTGTAGTAGTAGCTACATGTGTAGTAGCTACATGTGTAGTAGCTGCGTGTGTAGTAGCTGCGTGTGTAGCAGCTGCATGTGTAGTAGCTGCGTGTGTAGTAGCTGCATGTGTAGTAGCTACATGTGTAGTAGCTACATGTGTAGTAGCTGCACGTGTAGTAGCTGCATGTGTAGTAGTAGCTACATGTGTAGTAGCTGCATGTGTAGTAGCTGCATGTGTAGCAGCTGCATGTGTAGCAGCTGCATGTGTAGTAGCTACATGTGTAGTAGCTACTTGTGTAGCAGCTGCGTGTGTAATAGCTGCATGTGTAGTAGCTACATGTGTAGTAGCTGCACGTGTAGTAGTAGCTACATGTGTAGTAGCTACATGTGTAGTAGCTGCATCTGTAGCAGCTGCATGTGTAGTAGCTGCATGTGTAGCAGCTACGTGTGTAGTAGCTACATGTGTAGTAGCTGCATGTGTAGTAGCTGCATGTGTAGCAGCTGCGTGTGTAGTAGCTGCACGTGTAGTAGCTGCATGTGTAGTAGCTACATGTGTAGTAGCTGCACGTGTAGTAGTAGCTACATGTGTAGTAGCTGCATGTGTAGTAGCTGCACGTGTAGCAGCTGCATATGTAGCAGCTGCATGTGTAGTAGCTACATGTGTAGTAGCTGCATGTGTAGTAGTAGCTACATGTGTAATAGCTGCATGTGTAGCAGCTGCGTGTGTAGTAGCTACATGTGTAGTAGCTGCATGTGTAGCAGCTGCGTGTCTAGTAGCTGCATGTGCAGCAGCTGCGTGTGTAGTAGCTGCATGTGTAGTAGCTACATGTGTAGTAGCTACATGTGTAGTAGCTGCATGTGTAGTAGCTACATGTGTAGTAGCTGCGTGTGTAGCAGCTGCGTGTGTAGTAGCTACATGTGTAGTAGCTGCATGTGTAGTAGCTACATGTGTGCTAGCTGCATGTGTAGTAGCTACATGTGTAGTAGCTGCGTATGTAGCAGCTGCGTGTGTAGTAGCTACATGTGTAGTAGCTGCATGTGTAGTAGCTACATGTGTAGTAGCTGCATGTGTAGCAGCTGCATGTGTAGTAGCTGCATGTGTAGCAGCTGCGTATGTAGTAGCTGCATGTGTAGTAGCTACATGTGTAGTAGTAGCTGCATGTGTAGTAGCTACATGTGTAGTAGCTGCATGTGTAGCAGCTGCATGTGTAGCAGCTGCGTGTGTAGTAGCTGCATGTGTAGTAGCTGCATGTGTAGTAGTAGCTACATGTGTAGTAGCTACATGTGTAGTAGCTGCGTGTGTAGTAGCTGCGTGTGTAGCAGCTGCATGTGTAGTAGCTGCGTGTGTAGTAGCTGCATGTGTAGTAGCTACATGTGTAGTAGCTACATGTGTAGTAGCTGCACGTGTAGTAGCTGCATGTGTAGTAGCTACATGTGTAGTAGCTGCACGTGTAGTAGTAGCTACATGTGTAGTAGCTGCATGTGTAGTAGCTGCATGTGTAGCAGCTGCATGTGTAGCAGCTGCATGTGTAGTAGCTACATGTGTAGTAGCTACTTGTGTAGCAGCTGCGTGTGTAATAGCTGCATGTGTAGTAGCTACATGTGTAGTAGCTGCACGTGTAGTAGTAGCTACATGTGTAGTAGCTACATGTCTAGTAGCTGCATCTGTAGCAGCTGCATGTGTAGTAGCTGCATGTGTAGCAGCTACGTGTGTAGTAGCTGCACGTGTCGTAGCTGCACGTGTAGTAGCTGCATGTGTAGTAGCTACATGTGTAGTAGCTGCACGTGTAGTAGTAGCTACATGTGTAGTAGCTGCATGTGTAGTAGCTGCATGTGTAGCAGCTGCGTGTGTAGTAGCTGCACGTGTAGTAGCTGCATGTGTAGTAGCTACATGTGTAGTAGCTGCACGTGTAGTAGTAGCTACATGTGTAGTAGCTGCATGTGTAGTAGCTGCACGTGTAGCAGCTGCATATGTAGCAGCTGCATGTGTAGTAGCTACATGTGTAGTAGCTGCATGTGTAGTAGTAGCTACATGTGTAGTAGCTGCATGTGTAGCAGCTGCGTGTGTAGTAGCTACATGTGTAGTAGCTGCATGTGTAGCAGCTGCGTGTCTAGTAGCTGCATGTGCAGCAGCTGCGTGTGTAGTAGCTGCATGTGTAGTAGCTACATGTGTAGTAGCTACATGTGTAGTAGCTGCATGTGTAGTAGCTACATGTGTAGTAGCTGCGTGTGTAGCAGCTGCGTGTGTAGTAGCTACATGTGTAGTAGCTGCATGTGTAGTAGCTACATGTGTGCTAGCTGCATGTGTAGTAGCTACATGTGTAGTAGCTGCGTGTGTAGCAGCTGCGTGTGTAGTAGCTACATGTGTAGTAGCTGCATGTGTAGTAGCTACATGTGTGCTAGCTGCATGTGTAATAGCTACATGTGTAGCAGCTGCGTGTGTAGCAGCTGCGTGTGTAGTAGCTGCGTGTGTAGTAGCTGCATGTGTAGTAGCTGCATGTGTAGCAGCTACATGTGTAACAGCTGCATGTGTAGTAGCTACATGTGTAGTAGCTGCATGTGTAGTAGCTGCATGTTTAGCAGCTGCATGTGTAGCACCTGCATGTGTAGTAGCTGAATGTGTAGTAGCTACAAATGCTACGGGCCCTGCACTTTCAAAGGCCCCGCGCTAAATGCTTTCAAGCTATCAATTCCAGTTAAGTGATTCTGCACTTGCTCTATTACTATAGTACCATACCGCCTTAAACTTTTATGAACGACCGGGTGTTTAAGGTTAGCGATTTGTCGTACTATCTGGCTGTATAGCAAATGAAAAAAATACATTTACTTTACTGTGCAAGTTAAAAGATTGTGTTTTAATATTAGCTTTTTTTAA